GTGTATAGAAGTCGACTCGCTTTTCATTCTTACAACAATGAATCAAATAATAAAAGTTTCCTAAACAGAGTATATTTTGTTTTCTTAACAAGATCACTGAAATATTTAAAACATATTTTACTCTTCAGGTATGGTTCGAACAGGACTTAGAAAGATACTGAATAAACGTTTGGCGTACGTGGTCGAACCAGGTTCAGGCAAACCCGCACGTATTTCCCCTGCGTAGGCCAATCTCACCGAAAATCGGAGCGCGTGAAGGGCCCTTTAAACATCCCATCGTCTGACTTCCCAGTACCAATGCACCACTTCCTGGTTGCGCGCACCACCCAAGCAACACTCTGACAGATCACACAGCTCCACGAAAAAGAACCTCGAGCCAGGTATCTCAAAGTTATAATTATTACTTTTACTGTTATTAATGTGGTTGTTGCTGTTATTATTATTATTATTATTATTATTATTATTATTATCGTCATAAGAAACATTTAAAAATAATTGTCAACTCGTTCGAAATTCCACCCCTAGAATTTTGTAAATATTTTAAACTTTCACTAGTCGATTTTAAATGAACAGATCATTTTTGCAATAACTTGATTAAATCTGTGATATCGTCGTCACACGCTATCTACTACTGTAGAAACTCAATTTCAGCGTAATTTTGCATTTTTACATTTATTGAACTGATTTTATTTCTTGATGTACTCATTTTAATTGTTCGATTTGATGAGCATCATAGACTCTTTTCATTTTTTGTATGTGTTGATAATTAGTTTAGACAAAATAAAGGAGTTTGCATTATTATTATAAAAATCAGTTTGACGGACAATGAAATTCGTTACAACATGCATTAAAACAGGTTGTGTATAAAAAAATAAACTAAAGAATTATTGAGTTATAAGCAGTACATTCACTTCCTAGCACACACAACATTACATCTCACATAAGCCGCATCATCACAAAAGGACTATCCTTACATAGTTTCAAAGGTATCAAATTATATTCAACATCAAGAGAATCACTCATCTTCTCACACGTCAAATATGCAGCTCCTTCCTAGTCAGGCTTCGCTAGACAACAACAACTTCGACAACTACAATCTCATTAGAAAAATTAACTACTCACCTTCATCGTATCCCACTGTCACTGTTCAACACACTCGGTTCTAGATTATTCAAGGAAATAGAAACAAATGCAAACCACGTCATCCACTTTCTACTGCCGCCATTTAAACCTACCACACACAACTTTCGTCAACTTCAACCACCGCTCAATCAACTTGTCAAGATAAAACCTTCATCTCAAGACTTTGAAATTTATTAATAAATCAATACTCACCCGTCACTTGTTTAATCATATTTCTACTAAACATATTATTATTGATTTACTTTTTTTTTTGGGGGGGGGGGTTTCCTCATAATCACTTTTAACTCAATAATTCAATATTTTACATGTTAACCATTTTATTTTTTGTATTATCGTCTCTTGCATATTGTGACAGATTTCTCGTCTGTCGAAGTTTGAAAAAATGAATGAACGAAATAACTTATGAGTAGAGGATTAGATGAATGAACCAACGAGCAACTATACAAATAGATGAGAGCCTTCTTGCAGGTGATTGCAGTTGCCAAGAAATTATTTGTAAACATGGCTTGCCAATACCCATCAACTAAGCAGATATTGGCAGCAAACAGCATATGTGGCGTCTAAGCATAACTAGGCTAATAATCTTTGCAGTGAAAAATTTTTAGATTTTTAATTATAATGCTTCTGGCAACGGTTAAACAATTTATAAAATCAATTGGCTCGGCAGATACAACGTGTAAGAAAACCTGAATATTGACAAATAAATGATTGAAACTCAATAAAAACCGACTTTCATGATCCTTTTATATCTGGCAACAGAACATAAATGGAGAATAAAATGTTAACGTATTGTTGAAGTCATGTTAGCGGTGAGCTGCACTTCAATTAACAGCTCTGTCGCCCTCTCATTTTTGAACCATTAACATACTGAAACTTATTGATTTATAACAGCTATAAAAGAAAGGAAGAGTTTAGATTTATAGAATGAATGAGCGAATGAACAATTTTCAAAAAGATATTTAATCATTTTGATGTGTAACTTTGCGGCAAGTGTTACGTTCCTGTTATAAAACAAATATTACATTTAGACTTTTTTGTAAAACCCAACAATTTCTATCATTTATAATATTCGAGACGGAAACGAAAATGACTCAAAAATTAAGTAGAGAAATGGTAACAAATTTTAATTCCTACTCTTCTCTACCTGAGCAAGCCATCAATGTTATAACATCTACAACATTATTCAACGTTATACGTGTTGCGAATTAAGCCTTACTTCAACACATTAATAAAAGAGATGACACTAAAAGAAAAATAATTTTTTTTAATGTTGAAATAAAAACCAAAGATATGAGAAACTCATCGAAATAGCCAAAAATGACTTCATAACAAATTTAAAGAAACAGACCAAAATAAAAACATGATGATGAATAGGCTATTGCTTTTTATTTTGCAGGACACTGATAAAAAAATTTATAATTAACCACAAAGAACCATTAAAAAATAACATACACTTTTTTATATATTTATATAATTAGATAATATTAAATTGAATAAAAATTAAACATAGATTGTAAATTTGCGTTTGGCGGCAAAAATTTTAGTCTTTCAATTTCAAATTTTAATCAACTGAAAACAACTTTCTAGAAAGTTATTTAGAAATTTTGGTCATTAAAAATAAATATTAGACCAATTTGGATGAGTAAAAATTATTAACAAACAATCATAAAGTCGTTTCCTGAAAATAAATCGATGAAAATTTAATCTCAACAAGTTTTCAATTCTTCAAAGATAATTGTTTTCAGTTTTCATCTTTATATATGTGTTATGTGTGCTTGTGTGTGTGCATGTGTGTGCGCGCACACGCATATGTTCACTTTTGAGCGGAAAGTTCATGTCGAGTAGTAAGTTTCTTAGAGGAATTTATCTTCCGTGAAGCCTCTGTCGCAAGTGGAAACTGACTGCCTCCACACAGTGCCGGGTGCACATGGCATCTCGTAACATCTACCAGAAGTATCGCATTGAACGAACATTGATGAGTTGACGTGATTGAAATAAAAGTTGCGTTGAGCGATGTTCTCAGGGGTGCACGGATTGTAGTTTCTGCAGTCGTAAGCTTCAACGATCATACAATTTTCATCTGCTGTTGCTGGTTTACGCAAAATAAAAAAAAGTTATTGAAACTAGTAAAAATTTTATTATAAATTAAGATGCTTAATGTTATTTTGAAAAAAATTGTTGAGTTTTGTTATTACGCGGCCCTGACAGACGCAGAACTACTTCCCGGCCTCACTATCTACCGACAACAGAAGGCGCTCATTACAAGCACCACATCATACACACATGGCGTATAATAGTCAGTGAGTTTCGGACAGACAGTATTCGAACCAGGACATCGCGTGATAACATCGCTAGACGTAGCACCTCCACCAACTCCCGCCGAGAGTAATTATTAGCTCGATACAAAACTAATAAATTAGTTAATCATTCAACAAAAAAATATTCGACCAAAAATTAATGTTCTAAATCTGAATAAATTTATGTTTGAGACACGTATTGAATTAAATGATGCAAATATTCAAATTTCTCTCACCAACACGCCAGCAAACGAGGATGGCCATGAAAATTGTAAGCGGGCACAAGGATTTGTCGATCATTTTTTTTACAATTTTACGAATCTAATTTCAATTTTTTTATAAGCAAATAACTTTAGTAACTAACAAACAAATTGAGGTAATTGCCTGTAACACGGTGGGGTATTTATAGAAAAGATTATAATGACACATGCAAGAGTAGCTAGTGAATTTCCATTGTCCTGCTGAATGAATAACGTCGTAGAAAGAAAGCTTCGTCACGACAAACAACCGCCGACTAATTATTAAGAAGGGGAAACGTGATTGTTATGTGTTCTGTAATGTGCTATTTATAACATGATGTTATTACTCAATATTCTTTTGAATTGTCTGATCTCAACAATATCACAGTAATGTGGCAATAGACGGGATTGTTTGAACGATGATTAATTTTTAACGTAGCTGCTTGGCTTCCTTCATGGTGTCGTGTAGCAAATTATTAAAATTAGTAGTACGAACTTTATTAGTAATAATACGTAAATGTTGTGAAGCTTTCATTTCCTCAAAATTATAAAATTTCAAAAAGCGCGCTATATTATAAGTTATCAGTTTATGGCAACCGAATTTGTGACTGGATTGATGTGTAAAACAAAATATTCTAAGTTGTACTATTTTCAAACAAATTAATAATTTCTAAGGAACTACACTGAATCGTTTTTGTTACGGAACGAACCTTACATTGTAAGCAAACAATGGCTTCAAAATAGAATGACACAATTCTTCACTGGCGAGTTAGGCTGTTATGCTAATTCATAATAAATTGGAAATAAAATATTAGTGTTTGCACTGCTTTTTACGATACATTACTCAATTTTACAACTCATTAAATCAAGACGGCGTGGCAATCTTGATATTTTCTTGATTGAAACTTTCCGAGCTGAACCGTTTATTTGAAAGAACGAGTGACTGGGCGGGCCCAGTTGATACGGCAAAATATATCGGCGGTGACAGCGAGGTAGCCACTTCGTTCTTGATTCAGGTGCACAGGGCCCGGAATGTTTCAAAGGTATTTTTATGAATGTATATACAGTGGCGGATCTGAGAGAGGCCGTTATGGGCAGTATTTTAATAAGTCAGTAAAACTCGCCAATTTATGTGGAAAATGGACGAAAAATGGACGTGGCAAGCAAAAAGTTCTCAGCCACATTACCACAAATGTTGGCCCGTGAAAATGTAAACATTATTCTCAAGTTAAAATTTTGCCCCCCCCCCACCTATTTAGGAGACACTATTTGTACAAAAAGTATTAAAAAGAGATGAACGATGAATGCATTCAGTACCAAATAGTTGAGGAAACAAAATGTATTCAAAAGGTTTCAACAGTGTCATTGTGATTAACTTGAAAAAAATTGTTTCAACGTTTTTTTCCGTATAGTGCGGGGAAGCAAAATAAATTAACAAATATATTTTAGAAATTCATAAATAACAGCATGTACACACCCGGAAACTGATGAGCGAGATTAAGAATGTCATAACAAAATTTGATGGAATGTAAGGCATCTGAGTGCAACAACGAAAAATTGTAAAAAAAAAGGAAAACTAACAAGTTGACGGCAATAACAATGGAACAACTCGTATAACAGCACTTCATGTTTGATAAAACATAAAATTTAATACAAAAATACAAGTAAAAACCTGGGTTTATGACAGAGAAGCATTCATATTTTTGTATTTTTACACGTCTTTTGATTGCTAAATCAAATAAAACAAGCTGATAAAACGAATCAGCCCGTCAGAAAATATAGGAATATGACATGAAATCCCTTCAATAACAAAAGCTCAATTGAAAATACAATTGTCAATGTGAAAACCACCAACCACTGTAGAAAAGAATACACGAAGAGTTGAGCGGAACAGCGTAGATTGCAATAAGAACGCGTTCAAACAAATGGAATAAAATAAAAAGATTGCGATACATGATGTTAGTTCTTAAATGCAGTACATTAAATAGAATTTATTGTCAGGACCAATGACTCGCGCAAATTTAAAACTATCACCAGAGGTAAATAAACAGAGATTAAAAACAATAAAGTTAATAAATTACAATTAATTAAAAACTAATTAGAATGAAAAATAATAAAATTATTAAATTAAAATAAATAAAAAGCTAAATAAAATGAATAATAAGCAAGAAAGAAATTAATGGTCGGTCAGTTAATTTCAGTGGGCAGATCGACATATTTCCTGTAGGTCTTGTAGGATCTGCACTTCATGACCAAGCAGGCCACGATGAGGATGACGAGGATGACGAAGATGATGCAGCTGATCACGATCGTCATTATGGCGCCATCTGAAAAAGTTTCAATGTAAATGTACGCCCAACAGCCTCTATATTGTTAAAAGCTGATTTAAAACTGAAATCATCATCCTATTAAAGTGGAATCTTCATGTTCGACAGAAAATAAATCACTCGCGATGACATGCCAATCCAGTTTGCAGCATGGGCAGCAGGCCTCATTCAACAAGTGCTCAAAATGAATGCGTTTCAATTATTTCATTTTTATAACTTATAATCAATTCCTTGAAGACGTGCAAGTTTCAGTCACTTGCATACAAATTTTCATTAGAGAACCAGCAGCAGCGATGCTTTTTAATAAACTTCACGAACAATACATATCCTAGTTTACTAAATAACAGGCTTCTTAAAAAAGTTGAACCAAAATTTCAAGTAAAGAGAATTTATTACGAATAATTTGGGCTTAATTGATCAAACGAAATTGTAATTGCAAACTTTTACGAAGAGTGATAGTCCAGGTGTAGCTGTTATTTGTCTGAGATTCGTTGGAGCTCGGGAAGCAAGTTTCTCGCCAATTGGTGACGACGTTGTCGTGCGTCAAGTACAAAAACTTCGCAAGTGCGCATCTCTCTTCACATCCTGTCATAATTCATGTTTCGTTGACATTGAGACGAAACTTTTAATATCCATAATCAAAATTATTTATGAATTAGTGCATCAGAGTCAACAAAAATCAAGTGAACAATCATGAATTTCTAGAGTTTCATAACAAGTTTTTCAGGCATCTTAACATTTTTTTCACAATTTTTCGCCAACCGTTGATTGATTTTTATACTTCCACCATGCACCAATTTTTTATTTTACTTTCAATTTTAATTTTTTTATGAAATTTTCTAACAAGATTCTCATGTTTCACTCTTACACAGCGTTCACATCTTCGAATGGATACACGTTGGACTCACACACCTCACCGATACTGGGAAACCTCAAACATCATCATCAGTCCACGACTATGTCAGTTTCAATTGCCGACCTTACAACTCCAGCTATCAAATTCACACAACACATCGCATAATACTGAAACTTAATCATACACTCCATCCAAACATTCCCATGTATCCACGTTCATCTTCACTCGACCGATCCATGTTTGCCACTCATTTTTCATCAGCTTCTCTCCAACTGCCTCTCTTATAATACCATATTCTACGAACGTGAAGAGATTTCGTCCTCTTTGAAAGCAGGGAATAAATATGTGACTTACATTTCATTGCATGATTTATCCTCTACAATAGCACCTCTATCACATCTATGTTCGTCTCTCAATCAACAACTAAATCGATTTCCAAAGATGTTATGATTCTGCTCCATTCTTTTTTTGACAGTTTTTACACTAACATCTTGCAACGCTCAAAGAATTTCGTAACTCTAAACTAAACTCCTCAACAGATCTTCTTCTTCGCATTGCAGATTGCTAGCTAGGGCCACAACTCACTCTTGCAACTTCAGGCTTGATCTCACCTTAACAGTTCTGTAGAATCAACTTGGTTACCAGATGTTTAATTTTCACAGTTAGTTCATCATAGTAAAAACCAGCAGCGTGACTATTAGAATAATTGGAACCACAGCAAGTTTTCCATGTTGCCTTGCCAGATGATGAATAGTTTGATAAACAATATGAGAACAAGCAGAACAAGTAAAAGAAAAGCAAGTGAGCACGTATTGGTCAACGCATAAAAAGCGAAACATGATTATAAAGTAACCTGGAACAACCAGTTTGTATGGCTGCTTTTCAATGTCTTCTGTTTCATTCCTATAGAGCAAGGTGATGTAATAATTATTGACGTCATCAGTAATGTCATATTTGTTTTTGCTGATGTTGTCAACAATGTTCTTCAATGTGGCGTGGTCGATTGTGTAGTTGTTGTCGCTGGTGTTCTCATATCTGTGCAGTTCGATGTAGAGGGTCGAAGCGAATGGTGGGTTTCGGTTGTTGAAGACTTTCAATGAGCTCATCAAACCAGCCATGGTTGTGTCGTGCTAGCAGGCGACACCAAATTAATTAAATATTATATCAAAATTTGCAAACTACAACAAATTGTGACAATGCAATTATTTCATTTTCATTGAGAATATCGCTAGAAAAATTTTTAAATTAAAAAAAGAGCCTTGCAATTACAAAATAAATTGAAAAATTTTCAAAAGACTAACAGAAATATAGAAGTAGGCCTTATCAGGCTGCCCTGTCTGCGTGGGGGTGTTGGGTGATGGTGTCTCTCCCTGCTTTTTGACTGCATCACCAACTGCCGAAGTGTTGAAAACTTTCTCCAACATGCGATCCACAATGCTGCCGAGCAACAAACCTGCCAAGCATAACACAATTGCCGACAATATAAAAAATGAAATGCCAACATCTCCGCGTTAGTTGCACGGAAAGAAGGCAAATTCTAAAATAGAACGACGTCATATTTTCATTGCAATAATAAGATTCCTTCATGTTGAACCAAACTTCATAAAAAGAATGCTAAATAACTCAATTAATAAATAAATAAGCACTTGCAAATAACTGCATGGAAAGAGATTAGCGCATCAAGTTAAAATAAATATAAATAAATATGGAACAAACATTGTTTTCAATTGTTTGAAAAGCTAATTTATAGGATACAACATTATCAATGGAATCAAATGTTCCTTCAGAGTCCAGCGTATAACAACTCCACATAACAGCAACATAATAATATAGCATAATAACGTGACATAATACAGCATAAATGCTCAACACAACATCGTAACATGGTATGACGTAACAAGTTGTGTTTGCACGTCTGCCAGCAAGCCTACATGCGTGCGTGTTGTTCTGGATGTCTGGAAACTAATGCTACAGCGACTTGTTCCAGCAATGTACATAAGTGTTCACATTTCAAGCAAAATATTTCACTCTGCATTAATTCACACGTGATATATAAGAAGTGAGATATAAAAGCTAAAATAATTACCGTTCACAAGCAAGCATACACACACACACATAAACACACACACAAACACACAAGGATCATGCAAAAGTTCAACATTTTGAAGCAAAATTCTTGCACTAAACACAACCTGATTTTAATTTGGCAAGATTTCTTCTATTGAACCGGTAAGTGAAATAGTAATCCATGACAGGAAGCAGCAGTTGATAACACGGAGTTGCCCATGTTGGCAGGCTGTAGTTGTTGGCCACCTGCTCAGTGGTTGGTTGGTTGGCTTGTTAGTTGGTCGGTCGGTTGGTTGATTGATTGACTGGTTGGTTCAATGGTTGACTGGTCAGTTGGTTGATAGGTTGGTTGCCCGTTTGTTGGATGAATGGATTGTTTGCTAATCTAATTTCAAGACTTTAAAAAGTAAATTAAATCATTCTTTCCCTGAAAAAACATATTGAAGTTAAATCACAAAATTTTCCAAACTGAATGAGAGAGATACATATAAAAACCTTGCATATGAAATTGTCAGTTATTAATATAACATCTTCGATCGACTGAATATCAGCATTTGTATTCATTGATAGGAACTGGAAGACCTTCTTTCATTAAGTATTTGATCAATCTTTAACATTAGCATTTACATATCATCAATTTATTGAAATAATTAGAGCAGTGCTTTTCAAAATCGTGGTCCGCGGACCGGTGCCGGTCCGACTAGCAGCTGCCGGTCCGCGGCGAGCTCCCAAAATTTTCTAAAATATTAAAATAAAAAAAAAAAAAATAAGACTTGACCAGCAACACAAAGAAAATTTCCTTAATTAGTACTGGTGAGATAAGAATAGAAGTGAGAACGCGAGAGCCAGAATGATTCATTGTTCCAAATTGGCGAGATAAGTTTATATGTAAGGGTGGTCAGCTGTTTTAAAAACATGGTTAGAGCGTGAGATAAGTATGAAAGTGAGCAAGAAATAGTAGTATTTTTCACACGTGATATATTAACCGTAACGGCGTATATATATATATTAATATTATTTTTTTATTATAAGAAAACTTGTATAGTGACTTTTATAGAACTACCCAAAGTCGTTATCCAACATAACCAAAAGAAAAATTTTGACCATTTAAGTGATCAAGCAAAAACAAAAATATTTTGAAAATAAACATAAAATAAAGATGCCATTAACCAAGAATTAATAAATAAGGTCCCATAACATAATCCAAACACACTCACAAAGAGCACGCACACCCACGACCAATATATACACACGCACCCAAAACTTCCAACAATTGTAAGTGCAGATACAATTACAGCAATAAATACAAAAAGGCTGAATAACTTTTAGAAGTTTTACCATTTAACGACAGAGTTGCCGATAGATAGATATAACAATTATCTCATCTACTCAGCAAGAAGTAAACCAGAGAACAATTAATTAATTAATTTCCTGGATAAAACACACACACACGCATAAACACACACACGCATAAACACACATATAAACATAATAGAAAGTAATAACTAAATAAACGGGATTATTTGATCTCATATCAATCATAAATATCTGTGCACTTTCAAATTCAAGCTAACTCATTCAATAGCAATTTTTATCCACAAATATTATTATATAATGAACAGTATACATTGTAAAAAGAACTAAAATAAAACAGATAAATCCTTTAAATTCATATATAGATGCACACATATACTCTCGACCATACCCAATCACTCAAAGTCATGTAACAACCATGTAAGAACCAAACAGCAATCACGTAGCCCGAATCAACCATTTTAAACCAAATCATAGATACATTCATCCACACTTTACCCGCACCAATCACACACAATTACGCACAGAAGATACACAATAACATAATTCAGAACAACCAACAGATAAAAAGTCAACCACCAGCACAATATTAATAAATCAATTCAAATTATTAGAAACATCTCTGGCTAATCAGAAACACACACATCTCATAACATCCAAAACACATTCAACGTAAGCACATCCAATCATAAAACATAAAACACCCACATACATTACGTACTCGACAACTCAATTATATAATTAAAACGTAAATAAAAATAAAAACAGCATAAAACAAATGAATGTTCCGTTATCGTTAAGCTACATTCATAAACAACAAAAGCAACATGCAACATACTATTCACAACTTCAATTAATCTTTAAAACAGGTATGTTTTCAATTCTCTCCTAAACTGCAACAGTGACATCCCTGATCGATGAATGACGCATGGAAGACTGTTCCATATTTTCGTACCACATACAGCAAAGTTACGAAACCCAATCTTCAATTTTGACACCCGATCTGTCAAGTAATTCTGATCGTTTGATCTCAAGACAAAATTCTGAGCAGTCATATCTTTGAGTGTAAACATCTCCGTCAGATATCGTGGTGCCAAACCATTTAAACACTTGAACATTAATAAAAAAAATTTAAAAACAATCCTCTTTTCAATCACCAACTAGTGCAAATCCTTAATCAATGGAGTCACGTGATCAAACTTTCGTTCACCCATCACTTCTTTAGCTGCCATATTCTGTACAGACTGCAACAGTGCAATTTCATTCGCTGAAACTCCATAAAGTAGGCTGTTGCAGTAGCCCAAACGTGAGTGGACAAATGAATGAACTAATGCCATCAAAGCGGACTTGCTGACGAATCTCTTAATACGCTGCAACTGACATAGATGAAAACAACATGACTTTACGACACCCCGTATATGATCCTTCATGGTCAGATTAGCATCAAGTTTGAAGCCCAGAATTGTGGATTATCTTTCGAATTTAACAATGGCATCATCCATTTTTAGTGCATCTCGATGTATTTTTGATGTCTGCTGCCATGTACCAATTGGCACTAACTTGGTTTTATCTTTGTTCGATTTTATTCCATTTTGTGACATCTAAATATTTACTGCAGCCAACGCATCTTTCAATCCTTCAGCTAAATCATCAAACTTTTCATCAGGAGCACATGACACTGACTGCATACGCATAACACTCCATCTTATGATTCTCCATCATGTCAAACACATCAGCCGTATAAAAAAAGAATAGAAATGGCCCCAACACCGATCCCTGAAGGACGCCGGTTAACATTTTTTCTTCATCCGAATATTCATTACCAAAAATATCCGCTGTGATCTGTCATTTAAGTACGACTTGAAAAATCTTAGCACAGTGCCTGAGATTCCATAGCTTGTTGACATTCTTTGAACAAGTATATTGTGATCTACACAATCAAAGGCAGCATTCATATCAAGTAAAGCTAACAATGTCACTTGCTTTGAATCTGATGCCTGAAATAACGTTGACAACAGCTTTAACAGTGCCGTTTCCGTAGAGTGGAATCTTCTGTACCCCGACTGAAAGCACGGAAGAAGACTATTTTCCTCCAAGTATTGCAGAAGCTGTCTTGTAACCACCCTTTCAACAATCTTTGCTATAAACGACAAATTTGACACAGGACGAAAACTCTTCAACTCGTTTGTATCGGACGATGGTTGCTTCAATAGAGGTGTAACAATTGTTTTTTTAAAAATCATTGGATAACTTCCAGTTTTCGAACACATATTGATCAAATCCGTCAAGTACGGCAGAAACAGTTCAATATGTTTTTTGAAAAGACTCGTCAGGATGGGATCTAGCATACATGTTGTCAGAGGGGCTTTCAAAATAACTGCCTTAACATCATCACTTGAGCACTCCAAAAAATTCGAAAATACTTGATGTTCTTTAACCTTACAACTGAAAGAAGATACGCCATGCCCTATTATGGTTTTTCTAATGTTTTCAACCTTTTTCCTGAAAAACTCACAACCTGAAAATAGCTGAATCAATTTTCATACAAAACAAAAATCCCTCCATGAACATTCAAGTACAGTCTAACAACATTCTACCTTCAAATAGACTACTAAATAAAAACAACAATCATTATAATTATAACAACAACAATTACAACAGCAATAATTATAACAATGTTATCACCAACAATATTGATGATGTAAACAACAATCATACCAATAGTGACAACTTTAACAACAACATCAACAACACCAACAACAGCATCAACAACAACATCAACAATAACAACAACAACAACAGTGCCAACACTGTAGATAATAATGCTACAACCCACAGCGCAAATATCAGTTGCAATTGGAACATCATCAATAGTGACAACCCTAACAACAACATCAACAACACCAACAACAACATCAACAACAACAGCATCAACAATAACAACAACAGTGCCAACACTGTAGATACCAACGCCACAACCCACAGCGCAAATATCACTTGCAAATGGAACATCATCACAAGAAGCAAGAAGAACCACAGCGATGATAATAATAATAATAACGTTAACAATAATAATAATAATAATAATAACGTTTTTAAATATTGTCAAAATAATATTAATAATATGTAGTTAATTAAATAAATTAATTCGCGCTGAGCGTTGATATTTACCTTAACAACCATAATATAAACAATCTTGCCGTTAAAATTTTTAAAAATCGCGTTTTATATTGTTTATAGTTATTAAATTTATTTTATTGGTTTTCTGTTTTAATTAAATAATTTATATAAATTAATAATTACTTGTTCCTTTATATCAAATATCTTACATACCTTATATATAATGCACTGAGGATGAGTTATTTATAACTCGAAATAGCTATTTGCAAATTTATTTAATAAAAATTTTTTAAAAAACAATAAAATGTCTAATTTCTCTGAAATTAATAAATTAAAAAGAAATATAAAAAAGTTGAACAATGTTGAATTGTTGAAATGTTGCGTTAATAACAGTCTGTTACCAAAATATATATATATATATATATATATATATATATATATATATATATATATATATATATATATATATATATTGTGTAATGGCGGTCCGCAGCATGCCCATTAAATTTCGTACCGGTCCGCGGAACAAAAAAGTTTGAAAAGCACTGAATTATTAGAGGATGCAAGTGAAAGATGACCAGAATGCGGGATACTGACCAAATGATCTCTCCTCATATCTTCAACTTCTTGAGAACTGATCACCTGCCCCAAGACAACATCGTACTCCCTGCAACCGTCGTTCAGCAGCTCCTGATTAGTCATTCGTAGTTTAAGTTCAATCAGAATTCAAGAACTGCCAGAGATGTTTAAAACTTTTCTGACAAAATATGCGAAGTTATATCAGACAACAATTAATAATATTCATAAAATTTCAAGTACAAAAGCAAAATATTTGCATGAAAAAAACATAAAATGATTATTACAGAAAGCTGATTCTGAAAAATAGCGTCGAGCACAAAATTATAACATTTTCAATCAATCAGTCAGTCAGTCAGCCAGTCAGCCAACCAGCCAGCCAGTCAGTCAGTCAGTCCAGTCAGTCAGTCAGTCAATCAATCAATCGACCAATCAATCGATCAATCAATCGACCAATCAATCGATCAATCAATCGACCAATCAATCGATCAATCGATTGCCTGTTACTGGCACAGTCTAAAATTGGCAAAACAAATAATTATGATGATGAAGTACAAAACAATAGAAAAAAAAATGAAATGAAAGAAAATAATACAACAGCAAAATAAAATGAAGAAAGAAACACACATGAATCTTCTATGAATAAAACTATTGGAAACATTTCAACAGCAAGCACCGTGTAGCACGCGCGTTAACAATTGCAACCTTATCGAGAGAGGCCTGTTTGGTGTGGACAGGGATGGGCAGGAAATGCTGACCACTGCTCTTCAATGGGTACAAACTGTCAAGAAAGGACTGTGAACTCATGAGAGTTCGATCGACATCGGAACTTTGTGCATACATCTATGTGTTGCATTGAATGGGTTAACTGTATATTTTGTTTAAAAAACATATTCCATCTCAATTATTTATCATTACATATGCACCGTAAAAATGTTCACAACTAAAAGTTCTCTATTCATTTTTCGTAAATTCTTCATTTCATTACTGTCTAATTGACAGAATTAAGCAAATTTGTAAACGTTGATCATGAAACAAATTAATTTGGTCAAATCTAGAGGGATGTGTTTTTGGCATTTATTTATTTACTGATTTAACTGTCACAAATTTTTAACCATAAATAAGAAAAAAACAAACAGACAAACAAACATATCAACAGACAAGCAAACAGAAAAACAAACAAACAGACAGACAAATGGACAGACAAACAGACAGACAGTCAAACAATGAAACAAATTAATTTGGTCAAATCAAGAGGGATGTGTTTTTGACATTTATTTATTTACTGATTTAACTGTCACAAATTTTTAACCATAAATAAGAAAAAAACAAACAAACATATCAACAGACAATCAAACAGAAAAACAAACATATAGACAGACAAACGGACAGACAGACAGTCAAACATTACCACCTCTGTCCTCCTGTACGAACTGCTAAGAAACGTGTAAGGCCGCCCCTCAACATAGCGAAGTCTTGTAAACTTTCCAACATTGTTCATCTGCTCCACACCATGCTGAGTGATGATTACGATGACCAAGATGTCCATAATGGTTAAGATGATATTTTCAGATGTTGAGCAGTTTCACGATATAAATGATGATTATATGTACATGATGATTATTAACAACCTCAGAAATGTTTCACAATTTTGCATGCATCCTGCTTTTTTAATGTCCAAAGTGATGACAATGATTAGCCTTTCTTAGTGCATTACTGAGAAGCACCAACGACGGACAGTGTATGTGTGGATGTGTGTCTGTGTGTGTGTGTGTATCTGTGCGTATTTGTGTGTATCTGTGTGTGAGAACAATGCATCACCAACAGACAGCACATGATATAGAGCACCAGAGAAGTTTAAATAAATATAAATGACTATTTGTTTTTGATCTCTCAACATAATTTGAAACCTGCACTTATTATGATGAAACCTGCACTTATTACTATGAAATTTGCACATATTACAATGAAAATATTATTTCCAGCAATTTTTTAACATAACATTTAAATAATGCAACATCATCTGATATGAAAATAGGGCTTGAAAGTTAAAATAGTGATGACCTTAATAAAAGTAATGATCATGATCATGATGTTAAATATTATAATAACAATAATAATAATAATAAAATTACGTTGATGGCAATCAAATTTATAGTTTCTAATAAATTTATTTTAAACATTTCAGCTAATCAAGCATTGGAATGAGGAAATGACAAAATGGAAAGTAACCGGAGTTAATTGACCATAGCCCCCTGGCCACATGGTTTCATTGCAATCATCTGAGGGGTATGCATAAAGTGGTGATCTGGCACCATGTCGAGACAGCTGGAGTAAAATTTAATGAAATTTTAAATTAATTCAGGCCAAATTAATAAAAAACAGTATGAAATTTCTTAATTTAATTTTCCTCATGTACAATTATAAATAAGTCAAACTGTGCTCTGTATTTTAGATTAATTATAAAAAACATTGTGAAACAAAACTGAAATGAGATCCTTCAAATAACTTTAACCCATTTATCCAACATAAAATTACTGCAGCAAGGATTATTAACAGTTGTTTAAAAAGAAAAGAAAGTGATTCTGAAATTTTGCTTTTTAATTAATCATGGAGATGATCAATATTAAAAGCATCTTGTCCTTAATGATACAAAACAAATACTATTGCAATTGTGTAATTTTATAAAGAATTAAAACATATTCTACAAAATTAAAAAAATTGAATGAATCATTTTCATTTTTCATATAAGCATAAAATATAAAATTGCATAATTTTTAATACTTTAATCTTTAATGTTTAATAATCTTAATGTTAATCAATATTTTATTTTTAATGATTTTTCATTACAGTGACTACAAACTGCAATTATCAATCAATCAATGATCTTCCTTTGTCCATCAGTTAAACTACAATTAATTGATTACTAATTTGTAATTTAATAAAATAAACATAAAATAATATATGTTATTACGTTATTTATTATTTATTTATTAATTTATTAATTTTAATTTAAGAATCATGTACATTTAAATTTTAAATGTTATGTTACATCTAAACACGATTCTTAAATTTAAATCAATAATAGCTATTTATTTTAATAATTTTATTATTCATGCAAATTTAATTTAAAGCATGAATAAATAAAATAATGAATACTAACAGTTTGCAGGTAAACCAACTGATCACCGCATGCCACGAAGTCAAAGTTGGAAATAAAATAAAAATAAAACCAAAGGCAAAAAGCGGAATTTAATTTGAGAACCATCTTTCTTCCCAATTAATTAATAGAACAGTAAAATAAAATTAATTGATTAATTAATTTTGTTGAATACTAAATTTATTATCACCGTGCAACGCTCTCCCGTCACCAAACGACAAAAGTTCACTCGGCTGATGCGGCTGAAGATGCTGAGGATGACGACGCAGAGGTGATCACGTGGTGGTCACGTGCTGCTTCTTATACGTCCCATCGTTCGTTTGATTGTGTTCAGTACAGTCCAGGTCGTTGTCTCGCTAGATGAACACGTGACGAGAGGATTTTAGCTACAAAATAAAATGCCACGAAAAATTAAATAAATAATTTAAACTTTAAACTAATTCAGATTTTGAAAAACGATTGATTTTTTTTATTTACTTTTTTATTTAATTTATTCTTTTATTGATCTTGTATGTGCTATTTTGTACTCTCCTTTTATGCACTGAATAATTAGTCTTGAAGTTCTGTAGGTTTGGTCGGTCGAACAGATGAATCTTTTTCAATTATAACTAGGGGTGGGATATGAAATTTTATTGATCATTTTTGTGCAGTTATCCTAATCGCCACCAGATAAACGGCAAGTGCTTACGTTTTTCAAATGCACTAACAATAGTTGAAGGACGCGTCAACAAATAACCCATATATGCCCAACTTTTTATTTATTTTTTGAGGAATATTTTTTGATTTTGATTCAATATTATTTATGAATATTTTAATTGAATACTTTTGTAATCAATTTTGTATATAAAGTGTTTTGTAGTATATAGAACGCCACGAATCTGAAACAATTTTTCAAAAAATTGAGTCGTTTTTGTTTTAGAGTGAAGTGAATGTCCATCCATTATAGAGGATGCTAAAAGCACATGGCACAAATTTTATTACATATTTTTAAACTATCTTTTTTTACATACCAAACAAATAAATAATAAAAGTTTGTTTGAAAATATATTTAAAAGCCAACCAATGTTTTATCTACAAATTAATTTTTCGGCATTAAACTTTGAATCATACTTAAAATGTTAATAGAATTGGATTTCTTCAAGAAAGTGAAACTTTTCTTAAAAGCAACAGAATGCCTAGAAAGACTCTTATTTTCTTTATATATGTAGAATAAATTGCAAATTCCGTTTTAATACAGCATAGCTAATGCTTTCTTACACCATCATTTGTGACAGTTCACCACCGAAAAAATGTTCAAACCAAACATAATGCCATTGTTGAACGAAATGGTTTTGATACTCATTATAATGCGGTTGAGTAGATTACATGGATGAGAAAATTTTTTGATAATATAATAGACGGGCTATTTTTCTTGTTGAACCATGTTTTTCGCCACTCCTCAACATTAATTTGGATTACACCGCATGACTATAATTGACATGTAATGAAAGTTTTATTGAAGTTGTAATTTTGATGTCTTTTCACTCCACGAATAAATTATTGGCGTTTTACAAAAAATTTCCGTGGAGATGAACATCATAATTAGTATTCATTGAATTACTTTTTGCCTTACTATCTAGGGTTGCTGGTTTGTTTAACTAATAAAAAAATGTTTGTGTTACTTTTATGAGGCTACGCTATTTTAAATAGGCGAAGGTTTTTTTGGATTGTTTGTAACACTGTTTGTGAGTTTAAACAGATTAGTTTAAATACAAAGTTAGGAAAAGTTAAGAAATTGAATATTATCACTAAATTTTTTGCAATGAGCTTGTAGTAAATTTGCATAAAACGTTATGTTTTAATCCATCCATTTAAATAAATGACGATATGATTGAACAATTCATGTTTCATTGAAAATTATATTTATAATTGCACAACTGCTTCTCAATTATTTGAGAAAAAAAATTTATGCAAAGCGTTAAATATTATAAAATCACTAGCATAGTTAAAACCACTAGCGAATAAAATGAATATTTTACTGCAACACCCCAAACTATAGCCAAGCTTGCTCTTAAAGTCGGCTACTTGTCGATCAAACATTAACTCTGGTTTCTCTTCATTCCACGAATAAATCTTTCGCCTTTTACTAAAGATTTCCGTGGAGAGGAACATTACAATGAGTGTTCATTGAATTTATTGGCACCCCTTCATTGGGGTAATTAAAATCATGTTATATTATCTGTTTATTGTTATAGGGTCTATTGAAATGAGGCGTGACATTTTATTCAATGATTGAAATAGACCATCCAAAATCAATCAGCCATATTTTAACGGGGAGTTTCAGATTTGATCACATTACTTTTATTTTATATTTCCATTGGTTGTCCGATCAGCGAAGGATTGTTTTTAAAATTGCATTACTAGTATACAAATGCACTAATGAACTAGCTTCTAACTTTTTGATGGAAATACTCCATCACTGTGTTACACGTTGCGATCAAATGATTTAGATTTGCTATCGGTTCATCAAAAACAATATTCTGTTAGTTCAACAAAGTTCGGTCTCAGGTCTCAAGATTTGGAATAGTTCGCAACTAAACTTGCAACTAGAAATCGTGGGATATCAATTTTAGATATTTAAAAAAACCCACTCATTTGGAGATTGTTTTTGGCAATATTATCCGAAATGATTGTAATAAAATTCTGTAAATAAAAACCTGTATGTTGTTAGAGTCTATAAGTGTTATAAAAGACCCTATACAAGCTATTTGATAATAATATTATTATTGTTATTTGATTAATTTGGTATTTCTATTTGGAATTAAACTATTGTGAGACGGTTCAACAGAGACGTCGCCAAGAGGTCGTTAACTAATTTACCATGATTTTTATAAAATTTGATAAAATTTACATATTACAATAACAATTAATCTATTTTATTAATTAATTTTTTTATCAAATTAGTTCTAATAAAAATTTAAGAACAGATTAGAAATTGAAAATTATAAACAATTTTGTGCGAACAGCTTGTCCCTCTACGACGTTTGTTACAAAACATATTTCTTCTAATGTACGAACAAATTAATTAATAAACAATTAATAAACGAACAAATTTAAATTCAAATGAAAGTTATATATAAAAAAAATGTGGTCTGAAATTTGAACGTGGTCATTAATATATGTTTAATGATTACGTTGCATTATGTTTTTTAGTAAATTTGCACAAAACCTTGTTTTAATCCATCAATTTTACTGAATGACGCTATGATTGAACAATTTATGTTTTATTGAAAATGATATTTACAATTACACATTACAACTGCTTTGAATTTATTTGAAAAAAAATTGCACAGAGCGGTAAATATTACAAAACCACTAGCATAGTTTAAACCACTAGCGAATAAAATGAATATTTCAATATAACACCCCAAACTATAGACTAAGCTTGTTCTTATAGTCAACTTCTTTTACGGTTGAAAATTAGCTCTGGTTTCTCTTCATTCCACGAATAAATCTTTCGCCTTTTACTAAAGATTTCCGTGGAGAGGAACATTACAATGAGTGTTCATTGAATTTGTTTGAACCCCTTCAATGGGGTATTTTTAAAAAAGTTATCATTTGAGTGTGTCTCTGAGGTTTTGAAAAGAGCCATTTCGTTTGATTGGATGATTTTAATAAATTTGAATTTATTAATGACTGTTGATTGGAAGATCTTAACAAAAATTTTTATGGTATTTTTAATTTCAATAAGTGCTTTTTGCTATTTCCTTTTTGTATTTATGATTAAAAAAATTGATGGTGTTTCTAAAAATGTTAAATTGTTATTATTTATAATTTTAAAGTTGATCACGTCTTAAGCTTCTTTATCAATGATACACAGTTACTGCTTACAACTTTTTATACATTTATCTTAGTATTAATGTAATCACTGTGTCGGAAATTTTCCCAAGGCCATTCAAATCTGTTTAATCAATCGCATTACGTTACTTAGTAAATTTGCATTCAACATTAGGTTTTAATCCATTCATTTAAATAAATTACGATACGATTGAACAATTCATGTTTTATTGAAAATGATATTTACAACTGCTTCTCATTTATTTGAAAATAAAAATTTACACAGAGCGTTGAATATAAAATCACTAGCATTGTTAAAACCACTAGCGAATAAAATGAATATTTTACTGCAACACCCCAGACTACAGCCAAGCTTGCTCTTAAAGCCGGCTACTTGTCGATCAAACATTAACTCTGGTTTCTCTTCATTCCACGACTAAATCTTTCGCCTTTTACTAAAGATTTCCGTGGAGAGGAACATTACAATGAGTGTTCATTGAATTTGTTTGCACCCCTTCATTGGGGTATTTTTTTAAAATTTATCATACGATTGTGTATCGTAGGCGTTGAAATGAGGCGTGTCGTTTTTTGTTTAGTTTTACAGAATTTAATTTTGTTAATGATTGTGTCGATTACAATATTTGAACATCATTTGATGTTGATGCTATAGAAAACGATTTAAATAAATTCAGGTTAAACACAATCGTGATATTTTTGTTTAGTATAATTATAAGTCAAAATCAACCCAAAATCAAATAAACTACCAAACGAACGAATGAACGAATAAACAAACATAAACAAACGCCATCATTAAATTAATATCCTTTCATCCACAGGTTGTTGACGATTTTTGAACAATGCAGATACGTTGTTATCAATAAATAATAACTTCTGCAATCTGTAACACATGCTACATCAAGTCACTACTTAATCGGGTAGATATAATCAATACTAAGAGCGCTTGAAACTTTATAATGTTTCTTATAAATAGTGATACAACATAAACAATGATAAACTCGAACATATATTATTAACAAAATTAAAATTTGACAGTCAATTAATTTAAGTCTAAATGGTGCGCAATTGTTTTTAAATGTTGAACACCGATAGTGCAGTAAATTTTGTGAAAATCTACGTAATCGTTGTCGCCAGCATTTTATGGTTTGGTTTTTTATACAGCTATGTGGTCAATCAAGCAGACAAAAAAGGTAATGCAAAGAAGCAATTTATGAACAAATAATTAACCGAAAAATTAACACTGAATAAAAATGTTTTCAGTTTGCAGAGGGGAGGGTGCTGATATTTTAATACTCACTGAAAAATCAGATAAAGTGGACAAAAATAAAAATGAGCAAATGATGAAATTTGTTAACAATTTTGTCATGCAGCTGAATATTGGAAACAGATTAGACCAAGCCAACGTTAATATGATGAATTATGACCATAATCCAGTAGACACTCTTAGAATGGATTATTTCCAAAGATCACGAGATGCTTTGAACATTAAAAGGAGAGATGGAATGAAGGAAACTATTGCAGGTTATTCTGAATTTTATTATAATAACATTTTTTATCAGACATTTACTTGTATAACACCAAATTTAATTGTCTGTAATTTTTGTACCCATCGTGGTGTGCTATCACAATCTTTATTATTTTCTTAAACTTCGTTCATATGTATATAAACACACACACACACACACATGCACATATATAGTTGTTTAAAACTATCATGGCATTGCGGGAATTGTTCAATTTGCGATTGAGTTTTTCAATTTTTCGTACGATGAATTTTAATTCATTACTAAGTTTGTTCAGTTCATAAACAAAACTCTTAGTCATTTTATGCATATATGCACAAAATTCTTATTATAATAAAAAATGCTTTTTTCAACCAACCAACCAACAAATCAATCAATCAATCGATCAATCAATCAATCAACCAACCAATCAATCAATCAAATGGCTTGTAAAGCGCTATTTCCGCGATGTTCAACAGCACTCCTCAGCGAATAATACAAACAAATGGCGGTCTTGAGATCAGTTCTGAACTTCGCAAGTGATGGAGTAGTTAGAGAGAAGGGCCAGAAAACCAAAAACAGATTTAGCATAAAAGTGTTTAACCCGAGTTAAGAAATATGAGAATTACAAGATGAGCGTGAACTGGGGCATTTAGGTTTAATTAAAATATCTGTTTGGTATTTAGGAAATAATTTTGATTGAGACTTGTACATTAATAAGCAGATTTAAAAAATTATTCTATATTTTATATGTAACCAATGCAAGAGAACAAGATATGGAAATACATGAGAAAAGAAAAAGCGTAGGTTACAAGCAACTAGACGAGCAGCAGAGTTAAAAGCTTCACTAAGACCACAGAAAAACGAGTTACAATAAATCAATTTTAGGTAATACTAATGAAGAAACAAGCAAGAGAAGAGTAGGATCGTCAAGAAAAGTTTATAAAAACTCACAAAAATAATAATGACAAACGTCAGTGTCAGTGACGCCTTGCTGCTTGTGATTGAAAGATATTTCCAAAGGTAACAAATGAAAATAAATGATCTATAGAATATTTTGGTAATAGGATTAGAGGTAATGCTATAAAAATTTGAATGTATACTTGTTAAGATCTGTTCATGTTTTCACAAAGAGAATTTTAAATTTTTGCAACTAGAAAAGTTATTTATTTTTATTGTTATTAAAATAAATTTAATTAACAAAAAACATTTAAAATCAGCAAACTTCCAAAGAAGAAAGTTTTGTTTGATAATAACGATGGGTCAGAATCTCTACAACTCAAGCACAACACCGGTGGCCTACGATCGAGCCCTTAAAAATAACGTAACAATCATTACCGTAGCGTTTGGATATCCTCACAAAGTTCACTTACCGGAGCTACAAAGCATTTCAAGTGATCCCACTTTTGCCTTTAATATCCAAGTGATTACGCCACATATCCTACTAGGAAAGTTGATGAGTATTATATGTAGAGGTAATCTAATTTTGTATTTGACCGCATTGTAATATAACAATTTTCTTACAACTTATTAAAACATTTAACAAAATGTTTTCTATCGATGTTTACATTATGTATATCATACTGCTCCTCCAACGTCCATATGTATAGAACAGTCATACTATCAAAACCATGATCAAATGGATCTCGAAGTAACTTATGTTAGCATAAAACAACATTCGTGCGCATGTATCATATCTTTTCTGGTCATGCGTTTGTGCAAAGTTGTCATTTCACAGTTTTGCAATCTCACTTCATGTAATAGACTTTCATAATTCTTAAACACCCGTGTTGGCTGTCCGAATTTTTTAACGGCTGTCTTTGGTGAGTGAGGGCATCGATTTTCAGCTTTTCAAGCGTATTTCATTTATCAAAACTTGTGTTTTAGTTTTCCACGCTAGAAATTTAATTATTATACTGATTCTGAAAAACGTATTAAAAATTTGCAGAAATGTTCGCTGCAAATCAAGCCATCGACTATTACGACTGTGAGGACAACTATCCGTGCACGTTAGAAAACTGGAGGAAGAATCCAACAGGAACATTCGCACACAAACAACACAACAAATTTGTGAAATGCAGTGGCTTAACACAATGCCGAGTCGACGAGTGCCAACAGAGTTCATCGTGGAACAACGACACTAAAGTATGCGAATCGTGAAAATAATGGTCCCAGTACATCAATGGTTCCAGCCCCGGCAACTTCTACAAAATTTTTTTCTTTGATTTGAAGAAAAACGACACTAAAACAAAATTTTACAATATAAGCTCAAATTATTTTCGAGGATTTTTGACGACAGGAAATTATTGACGCCCCTCATCGTTTTAATCTGAGATCTGACATGTTTGCGAATTTAAATTTTAAAATTAGAGGTTTACTTTTTCCGAAAAACATTTTTTTTTACTTCCGTTCTAGCTGAAATTAAAACACCGGAGAAGCTTATTCAAAATTGGCAACAAACACAAACAATAATTTATGGTCATTCATTATTTGTAATGAAAATAAACGCTTCCTAGTAAGAAGAAAGAAAATCACTACAAAGTTGTTTAGGATTTTTCGCTATTTACATTTACAACCTTAGAGTGTATCAACGACAATACTCTTATAAATAAAAATAATTGGATAGAGTCAGATGTTTTTGTTGAAATCAACTCTGATAGGGAAGCCATAAACAACGGGAGCTGCTCCAATCAAAAATCGAAAGTGACATGCCAAACGGCTTTTAATCGCATTTTCTAACAAACATGTTTTAGGTCGTAGTGACGGTGAAGTTTTTGGTTCCTTTGTTTCAGGGGTATTGGACGATAAAAATAACCCTTTACTTACCAGCTTCTCGTTCGATTGAAGTGTTTTAACATTTTGAGTTGTCTTTGAGCATGTTACTTTGTTTGATGAAGAGGCTGGTGGTTGCGAGCTGTCTGTTACAGATTTATTACTGACATCATCAGAGCCATCTTCTTCCTCCTTGCCACACGCCATCCAATTTTTCAGCAACGACTCCATGTAGCGATCGATATCTCTGTCTGTAACCTCCCACAAATTGGCCACCACACAGCAGCTGTTTGGAAAGAAAAAGTATTCAAATTATTCATAATTATTGATCAGCCAAATTTTTTCCACAAATGTTACAAAAAACCAATCTCATCATTATAACGAACAAAAGAACTAAGAAAAGAGGCACTAACGATCCAGCCAATAAGTAATGGTTAATCATTCCAACTGGTTCCAACTGACCATACGTCCAGAGCCTACCACTGCTGCAACCCATCAACAAAACTGCTGACCTGCAGTTCAGCAATTGCAGACTGCCACCACTCAAATATTTGCTTCCTGTGCCGTGTCCCGAGTAGCTGTCAATCAAATCAATCATAGTTTGAATCAATCTCCATTTTACACATATCTTTATTTTACACATTCATCTAAGCACACACACACACACACACACACACACACACACACACACACACACACACACACACAAATGCAGCATTATATCTTTCTCGTATTGGCAATTTGTAAGCGTGGTTTTAAAATGATACCTTAAAAAAATATAAACAATTTTGTGCCTATGTAATCAGCCATATGTATATATAGAATACAATATATAGACCCTCGCATCATGGAGAGCATCTCCTGAAAGTTGTAAGGGGTAATTAGCACATTTGTAGAATTTACAAGCTCGTACAAAAGAATTGAACGTTTATAAAAAACTCTCAGATAGCCAGGTGCTGTAAATCATGTATAATAAACTTATAGAGCATTTTTTTCGAAGTTTTGCGTCATTTGAAAAGATATAGGTAGCTTTGTAGTAAACATTAATTTAGCAATAGAACGTAAAATAATTACACGCAGTGACAGATTATAAGCGGCTTACTTGTTAAAAAATATCAAGAGTGCAATACTTTTACACAGGAGTGTAATTCAAAGAAAGCTAAAATCTTTCAAAACAACTTTTAAATTTCTTTAATTTTAAACAAGGTATTTATTTTTTTATAAAAATAAATATTTTAAATTTGAAAAATTAAGTAAAAAACAATGACACTTTTGAAATTAAATACATTATAATTCTTTGTTCTTAAGGGGTTATTAGATATTATACACGATCCATTAAACTATGCCTCATTTATACACGGCCCCTTGCAATCAGCGGTGAACAAACGAAACGAACGACTACAAACATGAAAAGATCTTTAGTTGAGAGATTTGTAGAGAGTTGATCTGATGTCGGAGGTTTACCTATGACTCCAGTCCATTCCGGTTCTTTTCTGAATGTTCAGCATACATCATGAGTAAAAAAAAACATTTAATAATATTCAACAAACATCACAAATTAGAATGCCGATGGCACACATGATTCCAACTGCCAGTAAAGAGTTGTGGCATTGGAGTATCAACAATTAACCAAACAAATGAAATCTAGGTGATTTTCGAAAAACGAAACAACTTTTTATAAAAACATTCAACATCAATGCTAACGTCTCAAACCAATCTTGAAAAACTTTTTGAGTGCTAGGCAAGTTGTTATCAGGATTGACAACGTAGAAGACGCTACTCCTGTTCACACCCCGCCTCAAAATGGACTTTTCCTGTTTCATCTGACAGACCAACTGACCGAACATACAGTGGAGAGAGAGCTGGCGAGTTATTCTCTCATTCATCAAGCTGGGCATGTTCTCGAGGGGGAGGTGTTGGATTTGCTGCAGAAAAAATATTTCACATGCAACAGATAAGACGCGATTAAATATTTAATCATAAAAATTATTAACAGGGAAAAAATGCAACTAGCAAAAATTTGAATAAAAATAGTATTCCGTCAAATGAAAAACTTTTTAAGATTTAGGTTAATGCTAATTTATTGTACGTAATTTTGAAAACACATTTTGGTCTAGTAACTTAATTTATATTATTCATCATGTTATAAAGATGACGATTCATGCGATTTGCTCATCCGTGGAACAACTCCAACCACCGTTCTTCAAGTTTCAGTTTTTCTACTCTTCTCCTGTTTTTCAAAAACTGAAACCCCTGAGGTTTTCAGATCATTCTCTGATTCATCTTCTTCCAACGAAATTTCCCCTGCTAAGCCTTCATTCACTTTTCTCAAATTCTTTTATAATTTTGATTACATTTAAATTTTTCTTTAATAACGTCCAAACATTAAGGACTAGTTACTAAACTGATTATAAAGCTATGACATAGAACATAGTTAGGGTGTAGAACAAATTTAAGATGTGAACAAAGGTTAAAATGTGAACGGAGGTTGATACGAAGTCAGATTCATGCAGACCCGCTAAAATATCACTGCAATAGAAGTCATTTAATGATTTGGCAATAACGCTTAGTGACATCATGAAAGAATCATGGTTGGTGACGATGGTCTCAATGATTTATACCTGATAAATTACAAATCTTGCCTATATTTTTTAATGCACTTCATTGAGGCATACCAAGAACTTTAATCATGTACATAGAATGATTTAATCCAAAACCCTAAAAACAAAAAAAAAGAGTACAATTGTAATCTTACCTTGTCCAGTATGAACACTACTGGCCCTCTAAGCGCCTCTTTCAAATTCAACTTGTTGGCAATGGATTGGACGAGGGGCAAATATTGTTTCAGCGAAGATGGTTCCACGCTTTGACTTTTACCACTTGTTCTTGCCAGGAAATGCAGGGCTTGCAGGATGAGTCGGTTGTCGAGAAGGTGTGCCCCATTGAACAAACACTTGAAAACAATCAGTTGGCAGGCAGTGGTACAGTAGTTAATATGCGTTAAATAAAAACACGTCATAAATAATTAACACAAACAAGAATAAGCACAAGCCACGAAGTAGGGACAAACGAAACCTTGATGAATCTTGTTTGTTTCTTGTTACAAAACGGGAAGGATTTCATAAAATTGTGAACCTCATTATCAATAGCTTCTTCATTTTTGGCATCCACCAACCGACCCATCAAGCCTCCGATCCAGCACGAGAACCATTCCTTTTCAAAGCTTTCCAACAATTCCTTTTATAACAAATATAATTAAATACTTAATATTAAGTCATTATTATGCTGCTATGTGGGGCGATACCAGAGCTGAAATAAAAAACTAGAAAATCAGGTTGTGAAAAAATGATGTAAGAATCAACTTTTAATAATAAAGTATGAAACGTCGTAACAGCATTACATTAACTTTTCTTTACTTCTTAATATATATTAAATCACGCCATGTAAGACCCAAACAAGATTCCCACAAGCAAGCAAGCAGACAAGAAGACAACAAGTGGAAGTAGTAACTGACGTCAAGTTTTTCATCGAGACTCTGCCTGCGGTCCCACCACTCCTTCTTGTTTGTTACTTTCATCGTGTTCATGTTCTCCTTCAGCAACCAATCAAACTGCTCCAACAGCGTCCTTCGCTTCGATGTTCAATGCATTTCGTCATAAATAATAATGCACAGAAGAATTATTTAAAAATTACACCCTACTCCTGACGTCCTATTATTATTATTACATTATTATTATTATTATAACAATCATAGCACGTGACACAACAGACCTCATCAACGTCGACATGTGGCAGTGGGATGTTGAGAGGGGTTTCGCCATGAACGAATCTCGTCAGGATCAGCTGGTCCCTCCTCTGTTTCTCAATGTTCACCAAAGTTATCTGGCACACCGACCAATCTGCATCGTGAGAGATATTTGAAGCAAGCGATTACAAATAATTTGCTGAGAAAATATGTTCAGAACTTCAGATGGTTTGACGACGTTATTTAATCAAGTCTTATTTGTTAAAAAAAAGCAAAACACTAAATGATTGATAAGCACCGGAAGGAATGTGTTCAATGAATTGTTCGATGTAGTGGCACTCCTTGTTGAACTGGATGTAATCCTTGCACACTTCCAAATGTTGCAGTGTTTCCACGTTCTCCTGTAATAGGGCTTCCGATGGTGGTGGTGAAGTTTTGTCCAATTCTTCTGATAAATTTCTTAAATAATAATTTGAATCTAAATACACATTTGAATTAATTTGAAATAGTTAAAGTGGAAAAAACACACAAAAAAGAATTAAGTTTTTTTTTCAAGAGGAAGCAATAGAGAAACCGGACCTGATTTTCTTGCTGATATTCACGAGAGTCATGTGCCTGAAGGAGACAGCAACAGATTCGGCCAAATAGTAAGCCACCTGAACATCATTACTGAGACCATCATTCATGCAAGAGAGAGCAAGCAAGTGGCAAATGTTTCTGTAATGAACAATCGGAGGATCATGGTGCATAAGATAGAAACATTTCAACAAGTCAGCTGACAGACAGGATTCACTTGTTTTTGTACCTGGACGAGTTGTAATCATCATAATTTTAATTAAAAAGGTGTCAAATTAGTAATTTAATGACGATAGTTTTATGACAAGGAACTGCCCATGCCATTAATCAAAAGGTCTTGTAATGTAAAGTCATGTTGAATTTATTAAGCATGCATGCTCCAACGTGAACTAATTGGAATTGCAGCTGCAGAGCCAGGAGATGAATGTTTGACTGAAGGAGTCAGAGTAGGAATAGTTTACTTACTTAACAATGCTATAAACATATCAACCGAAATATTTTTTTTACTTTCCATGGAAATCTCTATAATCTGCACCGTTGTTAAATATTTGTAGAGTGCAGCTAGCCCATGCAGTGCAAAACCACAAAATTATTGTGTGTTATTTTGTGTGTGTAAAAGTTCCTTAGATAAAATGCACGCGATAAATCTAAACTAGCAGTACAAATTTTAAACTTTTTGCAGTCCCCTTCCAACATTCAACCTTTTACACCCCAGGAAGTATCATGGAAATAAGAATGTTAACCTAATTTCAGCAACACAGCAAACTTGTACGAAATTATGAAATTTTGTTTCATGCAACAAATGTGGTAAAAAGTAGATGACAAAATTTCGTTGACAAAAAAATGTTCACAACTACATGTTCGATCTTGATTTATAAATAATTATTACAACGTAGATAATTATACAATGTAAATAACTGTTGTACGCAAAGATAAAACTTTGAAAAACGGTCTATAAATAAAGATGAAAAATTGATGGACGTTTAAAACTTTGTATCAAGTGAAGTTTCTTTTCTGTTCACATTGCTAGCCTTAAAATCACATTGAAAAGGATCACATTGTTCAAATGAAGGCAAAGCCATGCATACTTCGACGTTAGTAATATTTTGCTTATAAATATTTTGTGCTTATGAAAACACTCAGAAGTCGGAATTGAATGCTGGAATAAAAAATCAGAGTGTTAAGCTTTGACTACTTACTATGCAGTCTTGGTTAAAATGCACATCGCCAAATATTTAAAACATAAAACGGTTAAAAAATGTTAAAGTGGATTCAACATTCACAAGTTGATGTAAATGAAATAAATGATGTTTGGCGTAATAATAATGAAAGAGAATGAACGCAAACTGGATTGTTTGAATAGGATTGTAACTAACTGACCCGCCTCTTCCGAACATTCACGATCTTCCAGTGAGAGCGTTTCGGCAAGAATATCGCTCAGTTCCTTGTCGTCTATCGATTTCAACTTCTTTCCTTTCTTCATGGATCCATCCTGTTGGTCTGATAGAAACGTATGTGATGATAATGACCTGGATATCTCGAGTTTCAACGGCTTTGGTTTCCGCGCTTTCTTAACGGGAGCTTCTGGAGGCAGGAAAACATCATCGTCAGCACTAACTTTTTTCACCGGTGACTCGGACATTTTCTTTGGCGCTGTTGTTGTTGATGATGAAGAATGGAATGAGTTATGATCTGAATGATCAACAAATGATTCGCCATCCAACAACGTGGCCATTGAAGATTTTAGCAGTTGCATATCAGAAAGGTAGCTACAACATTGAGAAGGCCATGAAAACTTCGAAGAAAATTTGATGATAGTTGCTTCAATGAGATCTGGGATAATCTGATGATAATCTGACAATGATCTCCTTTTAACATCTTTAAGCTTGTTGTACGTTTTAATATTTTTCTTTTTGTTCATAGTTTTCGTTGCATCACTAGCTACATGAACAGTTCCCAAACAATTGACATCATCGAAATAACGTGTGTTCTCATTTAGTAAAGTGTTCAAAACTTCATGGTCATTTATCTTTAGGGCTGAATGTAATGACAAAACTGATAGTTTAGAAAATAAAATACCTAATAAGTTCTTTACATCAAAAGTGGAAGATGAGTGTGCCATTTCTTTTAGAGAGATTGTTTTATTTTTAGAAAGCCTAACCCAGCGGACAACATTCATGAATTGTTTGTTGTACTTATCAATCAAAGCAGTTTCATACTTTTTGATGTCATTTATAAAGCTTGACACATTACTGTAATCCTTGTCTTGGTGTAAACTTAGGAAGCAATCTTCAACAATCTTATAAATCTGCAAATATTCGGCTACGATGTCTGAACTAGACTCAGATGAATTGCAATCATTCAGTTCATTAATGCCAATAGAAGTGACGTCATCAAGTTGTTTTGATTCAACGACGGTCGAATTGTTGAGTGTTTGCCAGCTGTCTGGAATCTTGAATTTTTTGTTTTTAAACTTTTTAAACTGAGAAGTAGGGCTAACTTGGTTACAGCTGTAATCCAAAGTAATTGGTCTATAATTGAACTGGTAGGCATCAGTAGTTTCCTCAGCAGGTTTGTCAATTTTTGTGTTTTTTTTCTTCACTTCTTTTTTGTTGATTTTTAGAGTGTTGTTATTGGAGCCATCTTGATCGTCATCTTCAAATATTTCAAATTTAGGAATTGGAGTTTTCGCTATTTGGGTATTTCTAGAATTATGCTTGTTTTGTTTTTTTAAAGAAGTTAAATGTTGATATTTAACTATTCCGTGTTTTGGAGTTTTCACAACTGGATTGTGCTGAGACAATGCAGTTTTGCCCTTGGCTGATTTATTTTTTGGCAGGTAATCCTGGATGCTGACAGATTTCTTTTCATTAACATCCCTATTCTTTGAAAAAAGTTTGTCCTCAATCTTACTGTCCTCATCACAACCAAAGACTTTTTTTTCTTGAGAGGAAGCTGCTGAAAGAGAAATATCCTGCAGGTTGTTTTGCAGAGATTTTAAAACATTTTCAATGCACAAGAGATAAAATTTGCTGGAATCATAAAAACTTCCAAGAGTAGCCATGTGACACAACTCCAACTGGATTTCACAAAACCTGTCAAAAAACATGTCATTGCAATCAGTAATATGCTACTTACAATCACAAAATGAACATAACAAAATAATGCATGCAAAGACCTGTGTTTAAGAGAAAATGTGTTGGCATAAACAAGAGCTTGAAGTAGGTAACTTTTGGCTTCTCTTGTGAGGCCCACTCGCACAAAACATCTGCCCATTTCCAGGAGACAACGAGTAAAGTTGTCCAGAACAATCCACTTATCAGATATTCTGCTATATCCTGTTGAGAATAACAAAAATTTTAATGTAAAGTTTTAATGCTTTAAAAGTCATAGGTCCTTTCAAGATATTGAAATTATTGAAAAAAAAACACTATGATTAAAAAGCAATCCCAAAGCGAATAAAGAGAAAGCAACGAACGTGAATTGTTTTTTTGATCGAACAAATATGAGGATATTCCCGACAACAATCTGCACGCTCGAGTCATCCACTCCAATCTAGTGCTGCACGACAAAGAAGGTGACGAAGATTTATTGCTCCTGCCGCTGTTGATAATTTTTAAAGCAACTTTTGCAAAAGAATCATAACTTCCGGTGGAGAGTTGCTGGGTCATGAAATAGCAGACCTGAGACTTCAACAACATTGATGTCACACTTTCCTTGATGTTAGAGCAAAGACATGACAGCTTCTCGAATGCGTCCAGACATCGATCAACCTGAAATATCAACCGAGTGTTTTACAGATATCTGCATTATTAGAATAAATTATAATTATACAGTGTTATGTTAATAAGGCATAATTATACAGTGTTATGTTAATAATGTATTTTCTATTAGCTGCAACTGCACTACCGGTATAAACCAACTTGTGAATCACTTGAACCGAAAATACATTTTTGGTTGTGTCATTGTTTGAATTGTTACAAGTAATTCACAAATGGAGTGCAAGTGTAACACACCTGATCAGCAGCCAAATACACAAAGGCTTTACACAACGAATACTGAGCCATTGTTAACAATTCTTCCTTATCTTCAGCTTTTTTGCCAGAGTTTGTGTTGGAAGCATGATCATCGGCGTATTTCTTATCATATTTCTTGTCAACCTCATCCTCTGCCATAGTTAGAATGATCTCGTCAACATTAGATATAAGTTCTTCAGCTAACTGCCACTGTTTCAAGTCTAACAACGATTCTACGTATAACTGAACGGCAAAGAGAAAGCGGGATTTGTCGCTTTGAGACAATGAAAGGACCATCAATAAGGAGAGAGCTTGAAATACTTTATTATTCTGGAGATGATGAAATATTTATAAAATTAAATATTTATTTTTATGACAATAAACGTTATATTAACTAAATAAATAGATAGTTTGCCAAATAACATATGCGAAATATTATTTTTATAACTATTAAGTAGGTAGGCCTTGAATGCAGCTTACTTGATGTATTCTTAATATTGAGCAGAGAATCTCCACAAAATCTAAAGTTGCAGTAAAGTCATCAACGAGCTGCGATTCAACAGAAGTCTTAGTTGCAACGTTCACACGAAATGTTGCAAACACGTCTTGCCATAACGAAAGAGCTTCTTCCAAAAGATGTAAGGATGGTTTCATTACCGACTGGAATTCGTCCATCCTCTTCGTTTCATCATTTTCCTTCTCATCTTGCTGACTGGTGTTCTCATCAACATCTCCAACGACCAATTTTTCATTTGACTCGACGTTGTCTTCACTAAATTTCATTTTATCAAGTTTTTTAAGCTGTGAAGAAAAGTTCAGCTGCAAAAAATAAATAAATTTATTATTGATACTGGCATGGGACTCAAATACTACATAACACATTAGACTTCTAAAAAAAATTCACTGTGCTTTACAGAGATAAATGTAAATTAACAAAAACTAATATAGACAAATCTTATAATTGTAAAAAAAAGCTGTCATCATCTTTTTATATATACACGCGAGTGAAGAGAGTTGAGAAGAGAGCACATGTCACACGTACAAAACATTGTCATGACTTATTAAACAGGAATCAACACAGAGCAAAAAATAAAAAAATTTACATGGCCCTCTCATGAAACCAATGAAAGAGCAAATAACCTCGTTTGCATTATCAGGTTGGTTGCACATGAACTTGAAAACTAGAAACTTGGCTTTCATATCATTTAATTGTTGCTTTGAGATATTATCACCTTCCCCGCTGCCATTCATTGTAACGCTTTCATGTGAACTCAATAAGTGCAAGGCGTCGTCACAAATTTTTTCTGAATTTCTAAAAAAATATTTTATGAAGAACGGATTGTACATAATTATGCATGTGCCAAATAATACAAACAAAAACCCAAAAAGAAGTGAATAACATTTAAAATTAACATAAGAAATCAAGCATCTTTGTTCTAGACCAAAAAAACTCTGTTGCAACAGTTTGCTTTAATCTTTCAAGCCACATTCTTCATGCAATAAATGACTTCATCAACATCCACATCTGCTTGTTCCAAGTTGTAATTTCGTTTGTAACAGGTAGCGGTAGCATTAAGTGGTGCATAAGATAATATTTTGGTTGCTTGATCATCATCTTAGTGGCACTATCATCATCTTGCTGGTATGATCATTAAATTGCCTCAGCTACCACTTGAACGACATTTGTCAGAATGCCCTACTCCTTGTGTTTCCTTATACATCCATTGTATTTAAGACTGATGAGTTTGCCAGTTTTATTAAATTATAGAACATTTAAAATTCTTCCTCACCAAAATTAACATCTATCAACAACTACAATTCAAAGCATAAATCTTCCTAAAGAGATGTTACAAAATTTTTGATCGAAATATCAAAGACACCACATGTGGAGCACTGCATTTAAAACTAATGATGGGGGTCACGATCAGTCAATAGGCTATTATCTTGCACTAACTATAAATGCATTCCCATTGTTTAAATTTACACAATTCCTACAAAATATCAAATGAACATATAAACTTGATAAAAAAAATTAAAAGATTATTTGGCATAAATCATATAGAAATGATCAATTGAATCAACAAAAAGACTTGTCGAGCACTGACTTGAAGCAATGCTCCTTTATGGAACTCCTCACAAACTTCGCCATTTCCAGCATGAACTGACATCTTTTCAATATATTCGTGTTTTCTTTCTCATAAAATAAATTCAACTCCTTCAATATGCTCTCGTGGTAAGCATAACATTGAGCTCTGCGAACAAATTATTGTACATCAAAAATTAGTTCAGTGTATAATTTAACTTTATGGAGAGAGTAGGTGGAGAAGGACAGGGTGAAAGCGGGGTTGCATGATACTGAGGCGAGTGACAGATGTGGATGGCGTCGAGGGGTATTTCGGTTTCATCATAGGTAGCCAAACGGCAACCCCTGATCTCGGGGAAAATGTCGTCTAAACGTGTGTTGTTGTTGTTTGTTGTATAATTTAACAAAATGAAATTAATTTGTTGTGTTCTTAGATTGCAATGCAGCTCTGGCAAATGGAAAGCTACCTGTAAATCAATTCTTACTCACTCATCCACATATCAAATGTTTGTGCTCCACATGTCGCACACGCGCACGCATTTATGCACATGCAAGAAATGCGAGATGCTTGTGGAGATTAGATTACAATAATCTTCATGTTCTACAGATCGTATTTGAAACAATTCCGATCGAACTCGGCACACTGTAATAATAATAATCACAAATCGTCATTGTAAACAACTATTGTAAGATACTAATTATGCCATTTCAATGCATTTTAAAGTAAATAATTAATGTTTGACGTTTATTAAATGAATATTCAATTTTGCATGTTATTTTTGCCAGGTTGACAAAATGAAAGAAGTCGTTGATAAGAAGCTTGTGAGGCAAACAACTTTAAGTGGTCGGTAGGTGAATTGCAATTGAGTTCGCTGGATAAATTAGTCTGACAAACAGCAGGAGGCAAGAAGCCGCTTGAAAGTAAGTGCACTTTTCGCCTCTTTTGACTTGCATTCGTTGATTATTGCACAGTATATTTCAGAAGCGATGTGGAAGATTTTGTACGATTCATTAAATTTTGTGATTCGTTAAGTAAAAAACTGTTAACATTTTTAAAATGTTGATTGTTACAAACATGTACATGGCATGATGCATTCACTGATGTACGTGAGTTTACAAAAGGAGTGATGTGTTTGTTGCGCGTCATTACACTGGAGGAACGCGGTGAGAGAAGACCATAACGATGCAACGAACCAGACGCTACAAGTCGACAGCGCACTCAGTGCGTACAGAGTTGAGTGTGTGTACTTACGTACATACAAATTATAACAGCACGTAACTTTGTTACTCCAAAAGACTCGAGCTATTAATAATAACTATTACAGCATTACGTTCGTTTCGATTGCTAGCAGGAACTTTAAAAAAAATTTAATTGGAGTTCACATTTAGCAAATAAATTTAGCATATTGGCATAATCTCTGGTATGTGACAAATAAAATGATTCATGTATAATGTACAAGTATACCTACCAACACACATTTGTAAAAAGTGTTTGGATTTACGCTCTAGAAAATTTCCTTCCATTTACAAGCAAGCCATAATGTATCTAGTATTGAAGTATTGAACTAACTAACTCTGAAAAAACCAACTCAGATCCTAACAACGTCAGTAATTATTATTATTCCGGCCATTATCAGACCTCTCGTTCATCTTTAAAATTCTTGAACGAGTTGTGGTGACAAGCCTGCAAAACTATTTAGCAAGCAACAATCTGATGCCGATTTATCAATCTGGCTATAGGCCATTTCACTCAACTGAGACTGCATTACTTCATGTCCTGTCAAGTTTATTTTCTATCAAATTGACAGTGATTCATTTTGTTAGTAACTTAGTTAGTTTCAGTTTAATTTCTATTCTGAGAATGCTATTGAGAATATTTTTTTAATTAGCACTATATAAATTCTTGATGATGATAATAATAATAATAATAACAACAATAATAATAATAATAAGAGCTGGTTGAATAATAACATAATATTATAAATGCAGAATTTCCAAGAATTCAGATGCTAAGGACAATGAGGAATAACATTCATGATGTTTTGGAACAACATAACAACAACAACAATAATAATTATAACAACAACAACAATAATAATAATAATAATGACAATATTGAAGAGATGAATAATCATAGGCATGCTTTGGAAGCATGTACAAACAAGTTGAATAAATATCAAACATGTAACAATATGAACAAAGCAGCCACCTACCTATTAAAAATTTCGGTGAAAATGTAATGAAAATTAAAATAAAAACTTGAGGATTATCATTAAAACAAAATTAAACAAAAATAATAATTCTTTTTAATGCATTTAATAAAACGACATAGCGAAGTGATAACATTCACTAATACATCACCATACATCAATTCTAATTAGCCGAGTCAGAAAATAATTATTCATAATGAAAATAAAAAATTGATAAAAATCTTATAAGAAGACAGAATCAGGTAACCATTACACCTGTCACGAGATCTCTGCATAGATTGCGATAGAGACTCCTCCCCAGGAAGGCAATAACACGTCCACGTGGTGTGTAATACACTACCTACCAGGTAATGTAATACACTAACCGACCATCCTTATCGTCATCATCCATATTTTGAAATGAGCGGTACACATTTAGGAGCGACATGTTACAAATTACCAACAATACAAATTTATGTATCAATAGGATTCATGAAAACGTATGAACATGTTTGACCCAGCAATGAAATCTGATTATAAGCAATTTTTCAGGGAAGAAGAAACACTCGAAATAAATAAGCCATCCATCGTTTAAAACATTGATATGAATACAATTAAACTACTCTGAAAGTTATTGAGCCAGCTACCTCCATAACAAAAGTTCAGCCACTTCAAACACTTCACAAGGGCGATGACATACGCTATATTAGTATATTGTGTATATCTACACACAAATGTATGATTATTTTGTTGATGTAAGTTGTTGGAGTGAGCTGTTGTTGTTGTATGTCGTACATTATTGTTGTTGTATGTTGTTGCTGGAGTGTGATGTTGTTTGAACATGCGTTTGTTGGAGAGCGTTGTTTTGTATATCGTTCCAGTTGTATGTTAGAATACGTTGCTGTTTGATTATGTTGTTGATGCATTAGGAAAGGTACGCTTGATGTATAAGATATTTCAGATAAATAGAGAGATATATAGATAGATAAGCAGATTCAAATTTATTAGATAGGTATATTAGGTATATCAGATAGAAACATTAGATAAACAGATAGACATATAGATAAACAGACAGATAGAGAGAAAGATAGATGGATAGATAGAGATAGACAGATGTAGCATATTGAGTCGATAAGATGTCATAGTGAATGCAATATAAGAGTTGAAATATATGCTCATAGGCATACGCTGAACATCACACCGGTGTGCTTGCTGGTAACAACACAGCGTTGTTTCATAATATAAAACATGCAATTCGCGCATATCAACAGCTATTTAAAACATTCTCACACAAATTATACGAGTCTTTATTTCATTAAATGCGACGGATTTTCAGCTTGATGGAAATTCTTTGAAAAGAGCATCAGAAAAAACGCAGTGCAAAAAAACATCATTCTCATCATCAAAGATTTGAAGAACAGCAACTTGGAGACATCACATTACCGCACGGATATGAAGTTAATGCACAAACAAACACTTGAAATTTGAAGGAAGGTGTTCAGTACATCATCACAAATTCCATAGAAGCAAAAAAGAATAAGATGATTTATTTAATAATTTAATTAATTAATTCCAGCCAAAACATTTGAAAACTACTAAATGAACAAAATAAATAAATAAACCAGCGGAGTTAATAAACAAACTACAAAACTGCACCAACAACTGGAGAGGAGCTAACAAGCAGGTAGGTAGAACTTATTATTGCAATTTATTCAGTTTGAATGTGAATTTATTGAATCAATTTAATTAGGTTCAATCGAATTTGAACGCACACACATCGTAGGCACACTGAGTTGTTCTCGCATTATTACATTTTTTTTTATTTCTGCAAAACATTTTCACATCGTGTCTCTACAACGTTGTACTTCATATGAGACACGAACGTTCTGCACATGTTGAGCGCGTTCTCATCCACATTATTGATCCAAATGTACATACAAGTGAAACAAATATCAGAAAACATCAACTGAATAGAATTTACTGCAAACTACCAAAGCATTCCTATACACAATAACGATTCATAATTTCTACATTGAATTTATGTAAAGAACCTTCTAAATAATAAAAAACTAAATTAACAAATTAATATTTGAAATAAAACAAGAAGGAATGATTGAGACTGTCTGCAGCGCATTGAGACGGCCATGTTGCCATAGAAAGATTAGATAGAACAAGATGAGTGCTTTCATCTCAAATAAATAATAACAATTAAGTATATATGAATGCCTATCTATCTATGAAGGTTACTGGACTCCTCTCCTTACAACAACAACAACACCACTAAACGTCTCCAAGTTCACCCCAAAAACATATTATTAATGAATTACGTCGTCTCCTGTAAACTTTTAATATGACCGTATCATTTTTCTCACCAAAATTATTCCACAAAGCAATATTCTGATATGAGTAGAAGCAAAAAAATTGTAAATATCAAGTAGATAAGAAAAGTAAATAATATGGTAGGAAATAAAATCTTATAGCTGAGAACCAAAATTGCAATGAAAATGAACAAGATAATTAAAAATTAAAGAGTAAACATCAGTGACAACCATATAAACCTCAGATAGTAATATATATATATATTGTATATTGCTGAAGAAGTTTTTATCATGAAACCACTTTAAACCACTTCAAAAATTCAGAACAGTAATGTACAAGTGTTTAATAATTAAAATATCTAATGAGCAAGAGAAAAAGATCAAATGAATGATCGAATAAATGAATGAATGAATGATCGGATGAATGAATGAATGAATGAATGAATAAAGCAGCCTTATTAATGCACAACAAAAATGATTAAAGGCCCGCAAGGAAGGACGCTTAAAAAGATACATTGATGGATGGGTACAAAAATAAATAGTGAATAAACGGATAAATGGTTAAGTGGATGTGTGGAGGAATAAAATTGTAGGCAACAAATAAGAGCCATGACAGGTGCTCATCATTAGTAGTGCTGATGCTGTTGCTGATGCTGGGAACATTTTTGTTCAACATACGTAACCTAACCTCAAACAATTTGTATCAGCAAGTCCGTTATCATCACCACCATCACATACACCATCATCGTCGCCATCATATACATCATCACTATCATCACCATCATATACATCATCACTATCATCACCATCATATACATCATCACTATCATCACCATCACATACATCATCACTATCATCACCATCACATACATCATCACTATCATCACCATCACATACATCATCACTATCATCACCATCACATACATCATCACCATCAGCATCAACAATCGCCTTCATTACCATAAACTACCATTACATCACCAACACAACCGCTATGGATTATCATCATTAACATTAAATCAAGTTTGAAAAATAATTCTAACATCCTATATTTTGTATTTGAAAGATATTAAAATGTTAGAAACACTTTGGACGAGTCTGAGCGATCATTAGATACGTTGTTGGTCTGTACGAATGAAGATAAATGAGATTAATATGTAAAAAAACTGAGCTTATGTGTACTCAACACAAACACCCACGAACACAATCAACACAGGATACCATTTTGCGATGAATAGCTTATGCATCGTAAGCCTTCTAGTCAGTGAGGTAGTAGTAATCCCGATAAATGAGTCATGTTGACGTGCACAGCCGTCAAAGGGGCAATTAAATTCATATATTACGTGATTACGCTTTAACTTAGAGTCATCTCTAGGACTGCAGTTGTTTTTCAGTATTAGGTGAGCCGTCTTTTTATTGTTGTAATAAATTCGGAGTTTAACTTTACTATTTGGGTTGGTTGGTGTGACATTTTTATTGATATGTTTAAGAATAGCTTCATCTACCTTGTATGCAATAACCTTCCTAGTACCAACAATCAAGATAACGACATCATCTTGTATTACAGAAATCACATGTCAACTGCATACAAGGTAGATGAAGCTATTCTTAAACGGCTGTGCACGTTATCATGACTCATATATCGGGATTACTACTACCTCACTGACTAGAAGGCTTACGATGCATAAACAGAGTGGTGCTATCAAATCTCATTTGGACTCAACACACTCAATCACAATTAGCCGTGAAATCCTCTACAGCAACACCAAAGTAATATACCAGAACAGCAACTAAAAAAACGAACTACAAACATATTAACGCCAAACATTCGGTAGAATTTATAGAATATATATATATATATATATATATATATATATATATATATACATATATATGTATGTTGGTAATAGACCCTAATTTTTAAAATATTCTATAAATTTCACCGAATGTTTGGCGTTAATATGTTTGTAGTTCGTTTTTTCAAATTTTCACACAAAAGTTTTTTAGAGAATGTTTAGTTTATTAAAATTCAAAATAAACTTATTTTCCGAATTCATGCTGCAAATAAGGCCATATTTCGATTACGAATGAATCATCATCAGTGCAAGTTGATTTATATAGGAAAATATTCACTTTGTGAAAGTGAACTTAGATGGAAATTAGGTGTCAGATTTATATATATATATATATTATATATATATATATTATATACATATATATATAATCTGCGTACTACTTGACACATTACATTGTGCTCGTGCAATCAAAATTTTATTAAAATTTATATACGTCGCCGTAAGTATCGCCTACATACATTTCATAAAATGTTAAAAAAATTAACATGCATGAACATCTGCCACAAAAGAAATGTTATCAGGTGTCCCTCTCAATTGCACGCAATCAAATCATATCTAATCAACCTTCGCATTATTGTTTATTCAGATAATATTCACATATATTCATCGAGTTAAGTCAGCTTAATAAAAACACCAGTACAGCAGTGCTCATGTTCATTTATTGACTAACTACACAACTTTAAAACAATACGTTTATATGTACACACCTAGCAAAGATGTTTGCAGATATAGGTAAAACAAATCAAAATATATCATGAGACTTTTAAACCCTATTATCACTTACACAAATGCATCAACAGTATAAATCTAGCAGTTAAAATAATATGTTCAAGGGTTGAATCAGAGACTCGGCAGAAAATTCATTTATGCAAATAAGAACACATTCACATTATAGAAACAACATGTCTCAAAAAGTTCAAACAAGAAATTTGAAAATTTATCAGGCTATTTTACTTCTATCAGCTGCTTCTGCACGTAAGTGAAACCAAACGTTAAAAACGTTTAAGGGTTCTCACATTGTTCTCGCAAGTTCGGAGTACATTATTACAAGTGAAAAAGAAGAATGATGTTATTTGTTTATATATATATATATATATATATATACACACACACAATACACACAATATAATAATTTGATAGGCGAGATAAATAACGTATAGAGAGACGCATAGGAAACGTCGGACAGAGAAGGAAGGCATGTTCGTAGCGTCTTCACTCTAAGGTCTTCATGTCTGTTGCATGTGTTCAAGTAATCTAGTTACATATTCTGTTCATCAATTTTAGATTAGCTTAGATGTTGCTAATGGAAAAATTGTTCACATTAAATAAAAGTAGCGAGGTACAATTAAATGGGATGTGTTAGGCCGGTACAAGATGCTAAATATAACGTAAACTCGTATAATTTAGCCTAAGTATTAAACAAATACAATAAAATAATAGAATGTAGGTAAAAATTAATATTAATACAAATTAACAGAATGTTAAATGATCTGGAAGACAGCAAAGATATAATAGAAACAGATCTCATCAAAGAAGCAGTTCTGCAAATTTTCGAATCAACACCACAACACTTCAATGACTTAAGCGATGAACTTGATCAAGCTAGCGGCAGCAATCACGGCCAATCAACCAACGTAGTCGATCGACAAACGACGGACTGCAAAACGCCACTCATTTTCTATCCGCTGCAAACACAAAAAGAGGCTCGACATTTGGTTACATGTTTGCAGAAGCACAACATATGGACAGAGCAGTTGTGCCGGCTGACCAACCAATCCATACACAACTTCTTTCAATGGAAGAGTGGCAAGGGGAGGCCATGGATTGGAATAAGGTTATGCAGTGTGGTGTGCAAACTACTACCTTTAATCAATCCCTCTGTTAATCAACCCGTCTCTTGATGTCGTATTATATAGAGTGCAAAAATTAAATGCAGAAAATTAGTAGCCGAAATTGATCACAAATAGTAAATATCTATGCAACCATTAACGAAGAACTTAAAAAAAATAAATTTAATAAACATTTAAATAATTTTTAATAAATTAATAAACTCTCTTTAACAACCTCCATCTCTTTACAGGTTAATGGCAGTGATCAATGACATCATTGAGTCAATATTTGAAGAAGTGAGCACCGATGACGTCGTCCAGTTTGAATCCCAAACAGCTCAAGATGAATGTAGAAAAGAGGAAACAATAAAAAATGGAAATTGTAATAGAAAAAAAATTTCTATAAGAAAAGTTCATAAACGAAGAAGTCAGATGAAAATTAGTAAAGAGGAAGAATTAAAACAGCCACTGATTTATAATGAATCAAAGATCGCCACACAAGCGACTGTTTACAATGAAATGCCTGGAAATAGAACATCAACAAATGAAGAAAAATTACTTTCGTCACATCAAACATTCACTAAAAATAACGATGTAAAAAAAGAAAATGCGCCAGTAAATGAGAACATAACAGCAAAACTTTACGTCCCAGTTAAATTATCTCAAGAAAATGAAATAAAAACAACAAAAATATCATTTCCTTCAGCACTGCTCATACAGAACTGTGACAAAATAACATCAACTGATCGGGCATCTGAAGGACTAACAAGTAAGAAGAAGATAGCCGATGAGACTTGCAGAAACAACAAACCACAATTGATAGGCGGTGATACAGGTGAAATCAACTTTAACAAATTAACAAAGCCTCACACTTGCGAAGACAGAACGGACACTTCTAATAATTCTAGTTTCAAAAAAGAAGCAGGTGATGAAGAGTTTATACGTGATGACTTTCAAAAAGATGGATGCAAAATCAAACAAGAAGACACCAATGAAAAAGTTGATGTGGGATGTAGAGACATAATCACTAGCCCAAATCCCAATAAATGTTATGAAGATGATCAGACAACATATTTCAGTCAAATATCTAAAAAGGAAGAAGAATGTGGCATAGGTCCCAATAAAATCAAATTCCTCATCGCTAAATTCAACAGTTGTGAACCACCTACTAATGATTATAAACTTGCAAGAAGAGCAATTAACGAGAACAGAGTACAGCCATTTAGAAGATTTGTTCTAGGCAACATATCACAGAGGTATGTTGCAAAACCTTCAGCAGATCAACAAAGCAAATTAATAGATTTTAAAAATGAATTTGTTACCTCTAATGAGTCCAAGGTTAACAACTACAGAAAAAACATCGATTTAAGACAAACAAATGACAAAAAAAATTTGCCAATAAGTAATAATAACGAACCAACTGCATTTCAAAGATTTGTTTCTGGAAATTTATCAATTAGGAGCACACCTGTGACAAGAAGCAACAAAAACGATTGGGGAGAAGAACGAAAACAACAAGCAACGATGTACGCTCAACCAGAAATAAACAAACCATCCTTAACTCCAAAAAACAATGAGCAAATTATACCAAATTCATTTGCAAGTTCAAGCTGCAACACACCGAACTTTAAAAAATCGTCTTCTACCGACAGAGAACCAATTAAACTTAATTCATTTTTGAGTTCAAATTTTATGTCAGAGAGCTGCCAGGATTTCATGAGTAACCAGAAGAAACTAATTGCTCGTCCAAGTCAAGGATCATTCATGGCAGAAGCAGTTGGTCTTCAAGCATACACTCCAACCAAAGATAAAACTTGGAGACATCAAATAACACATTCCATCTCGAACTGCACTCGAATTAAATCATCAAACACTTTCTCCACAGACACAAGAAGACTGTCATCTGAAAAAATTCTTGGCAACAATAACATCGAGTACACTAGTAACAATATTAAAAATGCCAACATCAACAAAAATAACAACGTTGATAGCAAGTCTTACAAATTTATGAACAAGCCTTTGTCATGGTCAATGAATGAGCACAAGATATCATCATCTGATGGAAACAAATTAACACAGCCTACAAATAAAACCACTCAAAGTGACGAAGCTCCAAGTAACAAAAATCATTTCGTAACAAGACACAATGAAGATTATCAAAAAAGCCTCCATATTCATAACAGACACAGTTGTGGCAACTCCCAAGTTAGTGAAATAACGAAACCTCCCATTACGGCGAACAAACAAGCTGAAACGATTTCAGCAAATAAAAAAAATATAAATTTCACCCAGAATTCACACATTAACAAAAACAACAGCAGAGAGATGTATGCTAATAATTACAATGAGCCTAATAAACACAGATCCCAAAACAAGGACAGCATCAAATATGCATCATATACTCCATCCATCAGAACAAATAATGTCAATGCCAAAAGGCTACACGATAGCAACGAAAAAACCAACTTGAAAAAAACTCATTCTCAGAAAGTAAATGACTTAATAAGAAAATTCAACAATTTCAAAAGTGAATTCATGTTTGAAAGCAGTGCACTGAAGTGGAACATTTAAACTAGAACTCCTCCTACAAGTGCCCACTAAAAAAAAAACAACGATTGCAGCTACATGTCAAGGTTTAAAAAAACTACGTACATGTTGCGAAAGATGGCATCAGTGTATTAGAGGCTTGATCACCCAATTATCATTATTAGCAAGTATTTTTTAAAGTAAAAATAAACACTTGAATTTTAAAAATTTTAAAAAAAATTTACGCCATAAGAAAAAAATCAATCCTGATTACGATTAATATAATTTATGTGAATGTTCTCAAAGTACAAACCTATTGTACAAACCAACATTTGTTTGCTATTGATCATAATCACATGGGTTAAAATTTAAGAAAACTTTCGGCCAAAAATTCTTTCCATTAATTATTATTTTGCTACATGAATATGTTTTTCAACGTTTATTGAGAAAATATTTCTACTTTCATATTTAAATCCTTCATGTTTTTATAAATTATTTAAACGAATTGATAAACGAATAATTATAAAAAATTTAAACGAATAACTAAAAAATGAATTAATAAATGAGTTAAATATCATAGTTTGTTTCATTAACTAATAAGGAATTAACGAATAAGCTTAGAATGTTAAAAAAGAATATTGTGAAATTAACAACGTGAACACTGTTGATTATATGTCATCTTGATTTCAAACTTCATCTTACATAACTTTAAACTTCACTTTATGAACTTAGAAGAAGGATGTCGGAATCTGGTAAAAAAACGTTTCAAACTTCCTACTCAGAATAAAGTCTCAACTCCCCGACTTCAGTTTCTGACTCTAAGAAAAATTTTTCATTTTCTGTTTTATAATTTTACTTAAATACTACTAAACGAAAGATACTTCAAAAAACATTTGAAATCAGTTTATGTAACTGTTTTCCTTAGTAAAATTATTCTATTTTTATGTTGTAATACATGCTAAAAATAATTATGTGACTTTATTTACACCATTGTGGCCTGCTCGTCGTCTGTGGTCGTATTGTACAAATTATAGCATTTTTTGCCGCATCGAAAACATGCATACCTGACAAATTTGTTAACGGCACTAAAGAGAAAAACATTTCTACATCTTTTCTATTTGTAAAAGTAATCAAAAGATGATTGTGTATAACTACACACATACAACCTGTGCTTGTGTGTGCGTGTGTATCTGTATGTAGTGTGTGTATAATGAATAATTGATGCCTGTGTGTTTTTGTGTGTAATGAGTTCATTTTACAACATTCAGTAGTAAAATTTGCAGAATCTTTGATAGGTTAGTGAATTTAACCACTGCTTAAATCTCTCAAAGTTTACTTTGATTGCTTTATAAGTTTCATCTACACAGCAGTCATTTTGATGAATGGATGCAGAGTATTTGCATGTGCTTGAGAGTCAGCAGTAAAAATAAATAAGATTAGATGAAGAATGATCAGAGATAATTAAAGTTGAATAAAATTTTGGAATGAGGATTTTTGCAAGAAAACTGAAGTTGATGTGGGACATCTATTACGTTTGGTTTTGTAAGAAATTATGGTAATAATATGGTAATAACTAGAACAAAACTGGGTGACAGACGTGCGTAGGTTGCTCTGCCAAAAATATGGAAACAATCTTCCAACAACATTGAAGCAGATTGTTCCATTAAATAATTTCAGATGAGTTTAAAAGTTATCTGTTAAACAAAGCATTTAATCACAGTTCAATCCTCTAAAGAATGTCATTAGAACGAATAATAATAATTATAGTAAAAATAATTGGAAACATCTGATCTATAATAAATCAAAATGAACCAAAAAATTGAATATTTTATTCGATTACTTATTAAAGTAACTGAAACATTTACCAAAAAGTAACTAAGTATCACTAATTGCATTATTTCAAAAATATAACCAAAAAATAAAAGATTAAAAAATTATAATGCTATGGAGAAAATAAAATGAAAACCATCAAGGGACTCACCGTGACTCTTTGAGAGACTTCAATTCTGTCAGCAAGATGCCATCTTCAGTCAAGCCACACCCGTCTTTTAAAAAATTCTTCAACTTGGAAGCTAATGTGCTTGAATAATTATCAAAACAAGATTGAAGTAAATTGATTACTAATTAGGGGGTGCACCAGATAGGACATTTTGATATTCGACTGAAGTCGAATAGAGCTGGATAGTTCAGAAAGATATTTGTCTGGATACAAATACTGTCGCTAGATGTTATTTACATAACTTAATCTACTGAACCATTCACAAAACTCCGAAATAAACTGCCTATGTTAATATTATGTTTGTTTTACTTCTTTCAGCACAAAGGTTTGAAAAGTAAAACTTCAGAAAATACACGTCAGCACCTTTTATTATCATTATGCACGATGGCATTTATAAGAACCAGGCCTACTACCATTTGTTGCTTCTGATGGGTCTTTTTAATGAAAGATGTTACACACAAATTCATTATCATTGATTTCTGTTTCAAAGTTTTTATCTAAGCTTCTTTTGAAATGAAACGCTACTTTAAATAAATTTGAACATTCAAGTGCCTGTTCAGCACTGCTCCCAAACATTGTTTCAAGACTAATCATCTTCAAAAAATAATACTCATCAAAGAATGAAATCTAATTTGAATACAATGCTATCTATTGGAATAGTTTTCTGGGTTTTTCCTATCTAATCCTTAACACATTGAAACAAACATACATTGAAGACATGTAACAATAAATATATACGTGTGCTATCGTGCACCATGCTAATTTCTGGTAAAACATAATTAAAATAGTTACATCACTCAGATGATTCAGGCATTACATCATTTCACACATGTAAGACACAAGAACTTATATTAAAATATTAATATAAATGTTCGTGCACACAATACATACACGTAAACAAATGAACATGCCAAATACAAACATGCAAATGCGTTTTTATTGATTATTAACCATCCGACCAACTCATGTATCCGGCCAGAGTCGAATGTTGCTGGAGAGTTAAAAAAGATGGGATATCAGGCTGGGGTCCGGTGCAACTCCATTATTAATTAATTAAAGACATTAAGAATGATAAGAAAAATTAGAAAATTAACAAAATCAATAAGAATTAACGCAACAAAGTTGAGTATGATGAAATTTTACAAAATAGTTGAACACCAAGAGGCTAACAAATATTTCGGTTGTTTGCCAGCGTCGATAACATCCAAAGTAATTTTGAGCCACCTCCAACTGGCTTGCTTCACAGAAGAGGCATTCAAGAGGAGCCCTTCAGCAACTGTGTTGTATGCGTCTGATTTCAAATCAAGTTGTCGCTGGCTGTCTGCCAAGTAATCATAGCAGGTCCAAAACTGCACATGATGAGTGTGCATGCATGACGTGTGATGCATGCACAATGTGTGATGCATGCACAATGTGTGATGCATGCATGCATGAGCAATGTATAAGCAGTCAATCTGTTTCTTAACATATAAAAAAGGTTTAATGTATGATCAAATGAAAATTAAACACAATATGATAAAACACAGAAGAAAGACAAGACAATTCAATAGTGAATTGACTTGGCAATCCGGTATTGCATTATAAATTTGTAGAGTCCTCAACTGAGTTACCGTCAGATTGCTTATTGTGCTTGGAACTTATGAAGAAATAATGCTTCAAGCGGTCTTTGAACACCTCACAACTGATGTTAGAATTAACTATTAAATCAATGGATTACAAGCAGTGGCGGATCCAGACAACTTTGACAGGGATTAAACTTTTGAAAATGTTGAAATTTTGATGGAGAGTGCTAAGAAATTACCAAAATTTAAAAATTTATGATAGTGTGGCAAAAATTACACTGGCAACTCTTTTTTCTTTTGAAAAAGGTCACCACATAACTGCTATCACACGGTAAGTTGCAACACATTCTTTAACTCATCCTTATAGTTAAATTCAAAACAAAAGCTTTTAAAAAGTTAAAATATTATTAAATTGTGACATAAATAGGAAAAATAAGTTATTTAATATAATGGAACAAATCAACCACTGCTAAGGTGCATTGCAGCGATGCAATGCATTCATTCATTCGTGAGAATTTATTTATGAATATGAATAATGTAGAATTAATTGGAGAATTCATTATTCAACGATGAAAAGTACAACATCAATTCAAATTTTTAACCTGAGAATCATTTTTAGCAACCCCCACATCTAGTTTGTTCCTCAAAACAATTTTGTGAAATTTTACAGCCGCCTGAAACCAGAAGAGAGCGTTGATGTGGTCATCTTGCATGTAGAACATCTTGCCAGTCTTCATACATTCGGTGCCTGTGTGTAGCATAAACGTTTATAGGCATTCTAGGGTTACATAATGTTCAGCGGACAAAAGTTACTACCAAGTTGTGTGACACTTTCGTATGACAGGATGGCGGATCGAAATGACAAGATATGGGCTATTATCATGTCAACATGCTGCTTCATGGCACCCTGGTCGCCATTCAGGTCATCAACACTTTCATCCACTTTCACTGGCAATGATTTCACATTTCAGAGGTCAAATAATCAATAAAATAAAAATTTCAACAACTTCCAAATCATCCACCCCTGACACAAATCCTCCTTATCCATGTCCTGTTCGAGTCCAATAAAAACTTGTACGCATCGTTATAGCAAGCTATTAATGAATTTATATTCCAAACAAATAGGGGTTTATTTTAAAATCTTGCAACAAATTTAGTGACAATTTCATCATGTTTGATAAAATTATATATTTTGAGTTTGAATGATTTTTAATTTGAGCCATAAGCACTTCACTCTAACTTCCCGTTTCTATGATTTTTTAAAATGTTCAAAACTTTGTCAGCTAAAAAACCCTCAACATTTTTTAATTAAAAATGTGAAAACAGATCCACAATTTATGAAAGGATGTATTATTGAAACAGAATTATGATGAATTGCATGCTGTAACCGATTCATTTTCATCATTAATGAGGCGAATGATTAAAAAATATCTCACACTGCAACACAGATAGGTTCAGCTCCAGCATTATTTTGCACATTCTGAACCACTTGACAGAGAGGGAGGATAATTTTTTACTTTTCACTTTTCTGCATTCAGCATCCCCGTCACTTGCATTCAATCTCATCATTTCATCTCTAGTCAACATTATTACATTAAGTGCTGCATTTCTCAAGGACTTGATCTGTCAACATTTGAAAAGGTTATTTCATAATTAAGTATTAGCATGAATATAGCACATGAAAAATCACAAAAATATGAACACTTTGTAGGTTGCAACTTGTCACATATTCAATCAAGGTATTGATGTTGATGAACATTATATAATTATTATTATAATATAATATGATATATGATTGTAACCTGAATAACAATATAGCCACGCAGAAAGGTCAAAGAGAGCCAAATCAAAAGAGTAAAAATATAAAACTAAACATTAGCAAGCTATACTGTACTGGTGTACTATTTTTAGCTGACTTATAATTTTAGTTAGGGATGCACAGAAGTTCGGCCCCAGCTCCGGCCAAAATCCGACTTTTTTTAAACTTGAAGCAACATTAAAATAAAAATGTACGACCTAATAAAAGTTAACTAAATATTATTTATTTAATTATTTCTTAATTATTTTGTTATCATAATGATAACCATAATACATATAAACTATAAAAGTATAATATAAACTAAAGTCATGAATAATGCTTACTAATCTTTTTATAGGTTCATTTTATGTTATAGTTAAAATATAAATAATGAAATAAATAAATATAAGTATAGTACAGTATTAAAAAACCAATAACAAAAAATTAATTATTTAAAATTAAATTATATTTAAATTTTTAAAAATTTAAAGTTAAAAAAAGTATCTCTATCACTAAAAGTCTAAAACAATTAACATTACAAAATAAATGACTGATAAACGTAACATAATAAATTTATTATTTATAATATATTTATAAATTTATTTTAAGTAAAAATTAATTAATTTAAAATTTATATTTCATAATAATATTTTTAATTTTACTTTTAATTTTGGCATGTGTCGAGTAGAATGACTGGATTTAAAATTTTCTAAAAGCATAGTCTCCATTTCTTTTCCACTCATTTTTCTTCAGTTTCAATAATTAAAAAAT